TTCAGGTTTATTAGTGATAATGCCATGCTTGGGCGCTGGCACCCTCAGTAATGGGACTAATTAACAGATAGTGAACCTCTTCATTTTTTCAATAGCTTTTCTCCTCCATTTCCCTAATCATAACCCTTTATTAAAATCTATGATTAAAACGAGTTCATTTCGTTAACTTTTCTCTTGGTTTTTTGTTTCTATTCAGCCACCGAAATTGCCACTCTCTCTACATGCACTTCCTCAGATTTTCTGGGTCTTTGGGCTGTGGGGTCTCGTCGAGAAAGCATGAAGTGGCCTTGAACAAGAGTGGATAATGGATTGAGTTGGGAGAAAAAGGATCAGCCCAGAGTCAATTGTGAATGAACATCCCTTTTCATCTTTATTGGGCCCTACATCCATCTCAGTTTTTTCTTGCTCTGGTGTTTCTTGCATGCCATCGGTTTAGAGTTTGTCTTCCGAATAAATAAAAGCTGTTTCTTGTTTCATAACGGTGAACTTGACTGTCATATCAGTAATCGTTTTCTGTTGTTCTTGCATGGGTAGGGCAAGTCGCAAGCACTCGTGGAATTGCAAATTTGAAACTAAGAATCATTCATCTGACCCAAACAAAAGGGGGTTCTGAAAACTACAATAACACAGATGTATAACTGGAAACATGGTGGTTCAACGTTGAGTTTAAGCTCGGAAGCATTGAATCAAAAGTTCATTGACGAGAATTTAAAATTTTAAATCATGTTGGATTATTAAACACTCAAAGTTGATTCCACATAGCAGTGATAATATAAAAAGTCATCATTCCACCTTTGCTTTATTAAAAATGATGCATTTGATAGAGATAAATTAAAAAAAATTATTTCTTTTTTGGATAACATAAATAATTTAACTAAGTCTCCTTAATTTAAATGACATAGTTGAAAGTAATTATAAATTAAACTGGAAGAAGTGTGATTGAATTTTACATTCGAAACTTTCAAGACCATATTTTGGGGAAACACACTCATTCTCACCACTATCATAATTTTCACTGTAAAACTAAACACGTCATTAAATCATACTTTAATTAACGTAAAAAATGACATCGTTTTAAAGGTGGAGTGCCTATTTGGTTTGCTCGAATGATTGATTTTTTAGTAGCAAACCATCGTTTGGGTGAAAATTACCCAAACGGCACAATTTTTCAGGTAATCAATTATCTAGGTTAAATGACGTTTTGCAATAAGCTGTTGTTGCCACCTTCTCTTAATCGATTATCTGCCTGTTTTATTTAAATTTTTATAATTAATCAGATATATAAGTTAAATAATATATTTTATTTCTTAAATAAAGTATGACAAATTTGCACACTAAAATTTAATTTTAAAAAACAATATCATTTATGGTAATTTATATAATTAAAATTAATTCTGACTAAATCATTCAAACACCTTTAATTCTGTTAAAATTAATTTTAAAAAAATAATATCTAAATAAATTATATCATAATGTAATTAATTATTAAAAAATCAATCATAATATATATATGGAACTAAAATCTAAACGGCCCGAACACTAGATGCTATTTCATAATTTTAAGCAACACGCCATACAATGAATTGCCATCTGCTGCAAGCTATTCCTATTTCTAATTTTATATATCTTTAAATCTTAAAATAATTTAGATAACGAAAAGAAAAGCATCAAATCCGTTACTGCTACGTAAATGGGATCTTCCTTCCTTCCTTCTTACACCGAATCAAACATGAAAAAAAAAAAATGGATACTGAATTCCTTCCTGTTTTATTATCTTGACTTCCCATTAGAAATTAGATTGCTCAAAAACATTAACAAATTTTCACATTTAGACCGAATTTTCCATGAGAGTATTGATTTGAGTTCAGGTGCCACCTCTTTGTGCATCACTAAAATGACATTAATATATTACAAGTCATATAAACAATCGATAATACGCTTTATTTCCAATTACATATACAAATCCAATAAGACCCCATAAGATTAGAATTAAAACGACACACAAGTGAAAGGCGGCACTGAAAATGATAAGAATTCACAAGAAGCATGGACGCATATGGTTGGAGTGGAATCTAAGAACCTTGCAATTAAATAGAACGAGTCACTCTCTTTATCAACAAGTTAGTTCTAGTAAAATGAATTAATTTTTTACAGTATAATAAATCAATATTTAAATTATTTTAGTTAAGAGAAGTATTTGCAGTGAGTAACTGATAGTAATACTTAGATTATGATCACCTTGAATGAAAAAAAAAAAATATTTGCACAAAATATTAAAAAAGAGCCACTCTACTTGACTGACGTGGAGGCTCCAAATTGTTGGCTGAAAATGGGAAGCTGATGAGATTGACACTTAACAGAGTCAAACCTCACATTAAAGACTAGCTTCCTGTTCCTGTGAGCCCTGTTGCTGACTGCTCAACCTTTTGATCTCTGGAAAGCCATTTCATCCCCACAAGTCTATTTTATTAAATTCACCAACAAAAAATAAAAATCAAATATAATTAATTCACAATATGGATTTAAATTAAAAAAATAAAATAAAAGCCGACTCCTAGAGATTCCACAGTCATATTCAGACTGACAAAGACCTCCACTTATTATCAATAAACAATCAAAAACTCATGTGTTTCCTTGTCTGTAAATTGAAACCCTTCCCCAATTATTTAATCCCCCACCTTTCGCTTTTTAATAAGTCAGGCCTGTTAATCATTCCAAATTTAAAAATAAACCCCAAAAAATACCCCCACCCAACAAGTTGAAACTTGAAGGCATATGCATCATAATATACCCAATGAAAACATCAAAACAAACAAAATCAATACATTTAAAAACTACGTATCCTTCCGCAATGCTCGTTCGCCATCAATATTCAATGCCAGTTCTTGTATTTTTCCGCTCAACCCCACCAAAATTAATAAAATAAAATAAAATACTCAGTCTCTTCTCATCTAAATCTCATCCTATTTTCTTCAACCTACCTTTTTTTTGGGGGGGGGGGTCCTCAGGTAACTTGAGACTCGGACTTATTTCCCTTGCCATCGTCTGTCGTTTTAGATATACAATTATCAGTCTCGTAACGCTGAATTCTAGATCCTGTCTAGAACTGCGAAGGATATATATAATATACCACCCACCATGGTGAGTTGACTCATGTATTGAAGAAGTGAAAAGGAGACAAGAACCATATAAACAGGGGTGGTTTTGTTTTTGAGGATAATTAAAAAGAGATGGCATGGTGGGTTAAGTAAGAGAGTGATGAAACAACAGAGGCCAGAGGGCATATGTTTATGTTTGTGTTGGCAAATTAATGTTGATACGAAGAAGAGGCGTCAAAATCCAAATGTTGGCTTTTCTCTTGGCTTTAAGATTCAAACACTGATCCCACGTCTTAATAAAAAAGGAAATACGTTTCAGATTTGTTTGGAGGAAGAAGGATAAGGACACAAGCAATGAGGAGGGCGCACTGAGTATGGTACTTTAACATGTGCGTCCACGAACAACCTCTGCTCATATAACCACATGATCTGCATTTATTCATGCCCTCTCCTTTCTTCCATGTTTAACCATATATATATATATATATATATATATATATGTATATATATTTATAATTATTTCTCCGTTTTTTTCATATTACAAAAAACATTGGATTCTTAATTTTTTTTAAAATGAAAAATATTCTTCCTGATGTTATTTATAAGTGACTTCAACATGGTTCATTAGAATCAAGAAAACATTAAATTTGTTTAAAAATTCAACAAATTTTTAATTCTCCATTTATCAAATATATATATATACATACACTTTAAAAAATAAATACTTCAACATTTAATAATATTTCCAACACGTAAAGTGGGCAAAAAGATAAAAATAAACATGAAAATTATAAAAATGTCCCAAAAATAAGATAAAAACATATGCCTCATTTGGTCCATACTCATTCTATACCACAATATATAATTTTTTTTTAAAAGTTTTGCCGGGTGTAAAATATAGATAATTGGGTAGGATATATTTTATAATTATCATTTCAATTATATCCTACTTTATTTATTATTTTTTTAAAATATATTATAATTTCAACTATCATTATTAAACGAAACTTGTAAAATGCATTTGGTGAGGATATAATTGAAAATTTGTACAATTTTTTAAAATGTTAAAATTTTACTTTACTTTTTTTAAAAAAGAATTGTAAAATAGTTATCAATATCATTTATTATGATTCAAAGGAAAAAAAAAACAGAATTGGAAAGGGGAAAAAAGAGATAACAGATAAAAGAAAATGAGAAGGAGGAGCCTTTTGAGAGAAGGAAGATATATGAATGGTGGAGGATGAGATTAATGGATTGGTTTAAGTAATAATGACATAAGGTCAAGGCAGATTAAGCTTGCTTTGAAAGTTGGGGGGAGAATTTATAAATTCCTTGCTTTATATAATTTTTTCCCCATTCATTCATAAATCAAAAGAAATGGTTTGGTTTGTTTAAGCGTGCAAAAAGCTAAAGTGCGGGTCGCTGTTCCTTTTCAATTTTCGTATTCATTTTCCAGTTTTGCTTCTTTTATTCTTTTCTTTGTTTTAGATATTTATTATTATATTATTACTAATATTAAAATTAAAATATGATTGCACCACTTGATTCTTGCCATGCCTTGGGGCTTTTCCTTTCCCAGACAGTTCCTTTATGTCTTGGCAAACTAATTTACTTTATCATTCACCTAAACCTAATGGTAACATGTGTGTGGTTATAATTTTATTCTCTTTTTTTAATTTGGCAATATTTAAAAGGTAGAAGAGAAAGGAAGCTCCCCACAACAACTTTATTATTGTTTATCATTATTTTTCCACCGGATTCCAACCAAAACTATATTATTATTATTTTCATTAAATATCATTACTAAAATATATTTAATAATCCCGCGTATTCTGTGTGTCTCCTTTTCCGTTTTAATTTTTTAAATCTCAATTTGGACAGTCTTATGAAAGTTAGGAACCCAATTACTCGCCAAAAACAAGGATTCATTTTATCAGACCATTTTCCATCCTAATCTCAAAATTCAAATATCATACCAACACCACCACAATTTTCTGCCGTTCTTCCCATTTTTTAAAAAATATTTTCTCAAGACTTGAATATTATTTTCCCCAGAAATTTTCCAGATCATATTCATCCATTCTCTGTTTCATCGAGTTCAGCTTTTTTTTTTATGTAAAAAAAAATATATGCAAATGGTTCAAAGTTTAAGACTTTCTTCTTCTGGTTTCATTCCCAGCTTCTGAGGTTTTTATTTTCCGACATATCTTGATTTTTGCGTTGTTGTATCATTTTTCCAAGGAAAAAAATCTGCAGAAATTAGTGCCAGTTTCGAGTTAGTGAAGTTTTGGAGGAGAAATGGAGTGTTGATGTGTAGTTTATGCATGAGTTGTTAAGCTTTTAAATATGGAAGCAAGGGATGGAATTAGCAGTGCAGTCACGGTGGTAGGATCAGACGATCCGTCGGAGTACCATGTGGCTCCCCGGACCGAGAACCCAGCAACCACTGGTGGATCGACAACGCCAGCGCCGGCTCCGACACCGGCAGCTCAAGGCACTGCTCCTCCTCCGCAGTCTGCAGCGGCTGGAGGGGCGCCAACAGCCATGATGATGCCGGGGAAGAAGAAAAGAGGTCGACCGAGAAAGTACGGGCCAGACGGGTCGGTGACCATGGCGCTATCTCCCAAACCAATATCTTCTTCGGCCCCTCCATCCCAAGTCATCGATTTCTCCGCAGATAAGCGCGGGAAAGTTCGTCCAGCTAGTTCTGTCAGCAAAGCCAAATTCGAGGTCGAGAATTTAGGTAAACGAAAACATGACCTTTTTTTTCTTTTTTTCATCCCTTGCTTTTGTTCATATTTGAGCGTAGTGTAGCTTACTATAATTATACCAGCTGAGTACAAGTATTTATTTATTTTTGTTGGCTGAATTGTGATGGAGAAATAGATGAATTTTGAGTAGGACAGAGATAGAGTGTGAAGGTGGAATAATCAAGCCTTGAACTGTGGGACCTGTGGTTATATGCTGTTATTGAGGTCTTTGGTATGTGTGGTAGTCCTGAAAAGTGAGTTAGCTTTGTGGTGTGGGTGGGTATGGTATTTGGGAGAATCTTCTTGTTACGGCTGTGATTTGGCACTTGAAAACTTTTGTTGGAAAGGAAATGGTATTGGTGGTACATATCTTCAACTGTTGTTGGACAGATTTGAACTAAACATGCCTTCTTCTTCAATTGACACCCCCAAGATAAAAGCTTTTTGTTTTTTTCTGCCCACTTTTTATTTGCTTCTGGATGGTGTTTTGTTATTCTTTTCTTGGAATTGGCTGTTTTAGATTTATAGAGGACGGTAATATTATCGATCACTTCTGGGGTATGTGTTTTTTTGTGTCAAGAGGTCCAAAGTCCAAGCTGACATCAGCTGCTCTTTTTGGTCTCTCTCACATCACTCCAACCTAGTACTAGTAGTAGTTAGTTTGTTACCTGGTACGGTTACGTTTTCGGGTGGTTCTTTCTGATACAGGACGCCTGATACAGGACGCCATTCATATATATATATATGTGTTAGAATGCTCACTGTTCCTTGCAAGTGTATAATTCACTGCTTTTCATTCCTGAGATTTATAATTCGAACTACTTATCTGAAATAAAAACCGTAAAAATGTTCCATGGGAAAAATCTAATCTCTAATCCAGAAGACCTGAAAACTGAAACTTCAGTTCTGAAATTGATATGCAGCTGTCGTATACAAGATATATATATATATGTACATACACACATTACGTATGAAGATAACTAGATGCAAAATGATTTTGATAACATCAATTTCTCTTATCTCTTGTTCCTTTTTTGCTAAATATATTTTTTCTGGAAAAAAGTCTGCTCTGTTGTGCTCCTTTTTCGGTATAAATTATGTTTCTGATAAGCGTCTGTGTACATTTTGGGTTCAAGTCCTGGAACAGGAAGTATGGTTTTGTGCTTAACAGAGTTGTAATTTTTGCGTTAACAACTTGCCATCTGTATTACTCTTGGAAAAGGGAAGTCATGACATTGACTGGCTGAACCCAAGAATGATACACAATCTGAAGGAGGGTTTTAAAGCTTTTTCTTTTTTTAAAAAATAGCTTCAAATTAAATATTGAAAAAGAACGTTTAGGAAGTCTTACAGCGCACTTTTTTAGGAGATTTATTGTGACAATTTCTACCTGTTATTAGAGGTCTACTTTCTTAACTCGCTGCCCTGTACTCTGTCTTATACCAAAACAACAGCTATTTATAAAATTTTGGGAAGGGATAATGGATTAAAATGAAAAATATACTCTAGTCTAGCTTTCAAGGTAATTTCATATCATTAAGAGTGTATTATTGGACATGCACCTGTATAAGACAAAACTACGAGTGTTGTTTCAACTTTAATAGATGGTTTCTCAAGACTAAATGTTCACATTCTCTATATGACAAAAATGAGGGATTTCTTATTCTAGAAGCTGAGACTTATTATCATGTCCATTTTCATAGGGAATATTATCATGTCTTATATCGTGGTTAATTTTTTATAATTATTTCCGTTTTTTTTTTTTTGGCAGGTCAATGGGTTGCATGCTCTGTAGGTGCTAATTTTACACCCCATATAATTACTGTTAATTCTGGGGAGGTAAATTGCAGAAACATCAATTATTTATATTTTTCATTTTCGTCTGGATTATGTCATTTTATAGATTCTTGATTAGGTAATTTCCAAAACATTCTAGGCAAGTATTAAATAAAAAAAATTCCATAATTACAGGAACAAATTTGACTAATAATAGCCATGTAAGCTTGGCTGTATCTATCCGTTTTCCTCAGTCGCCGCTTTTACAGCTTCACCTTTTCTGGAGGTGACCAGTCCTATCTCACATGCATGTATTTCAACATATGATGCGATACATACCATGACGGACAAGAGATTAATTACAAAATGCTTCAAAAATAGATAGATTAATTAGCTTCCTTATCTTCGTAATTTCTTTGGGATAATATGTTCTATTGCCTTCTTTTATAACTTAAAAAATGTTTGTAATGACAAAGAATCTTCTTTTGGTTATGTTAGATTAATTAGCTTCCTTATCTTCGTAATTTTTTTGGGATAATATGTTCTCTTGCCTTCTTTTATAACTGAAAAAATGTTTATAATGACAAAGAATCTTCTTTTGGTTATCTTAGGATGTTACTATGAAGATAATATCATTTTCTCAGCAAGGACCTCGAGCTATATGTATTCTTTCTGCAAATGGCGTCATATCGAGCGTCACACTTCGTCAACCTGATTCTTCTGGGGGCACATTGACTTATGAGGTGTGGCATTTCTCTTTCCAAGTGTTCTAACAGTATCAGCTTCTCTAACTCGATGAAGAACTATGGAATTAATGATTGGTGACTTTCTTTTTTTTTTTTTTAAGTTGCGTAATTTTTTGACTGTTAGGAAGACATCGTGACCCTTTTTCTTTATGACTGGATAAGGCATGTTGCTTCGAGTCATTATAATTTATATATTCCTTATGTTAGTGAAACTGTGAAGAGTTATGATAAATGTTATTATGAGTCCTTCTGCGGAGATTACTTTTGGTGCTTTCACGGATAGGCTTTCATGATCTAAGGTTGCTACTGCCACTTCTTCTCTAAAATTTTTGGTTTTCCTTTAATGGTACATCTACTCAGTTCCCCCTCGGCCCCCCCCCCCCCAACCGCGGCCAAAAAAAAAAAAAAATCTACTATTTCTCATATCGGCATCTTTGGATTCATAGCTTTTCCTAAATTTGATATTCTGCTTCATCCACATTTTTCCCTCAACCTGCTGTAACCTTTATTCTGTTCATCTGTGTTATAAATGCATCATTATTATATTATCTTTAATTAACCTTCTAAAACCAGTGCTGTCTTTGTTTGTACAGGGACGTTTTGAAATTCTGTCATTGTCTGGGTCATTCATGCCAAGTGAAAGTGGGGGAACACGGAGCCGATCTGGCGGCATGAGTGTTTCTTTGGCGAGTCCAGATGGTCGTGTTGTAGGTGGCGGAGTGGCAGGTCTATTAGTAGCAGCAAGTCCTGTACAGGTACGAAGTTTTTGTGACTGTTTCATTGAATTATTATTCAATGTGTAGTAACATGTACTAACTAATATACAAGTATGTCATCACAAATTTAGCGATGCTTATAATCTTCTTTCCACCTGATTGACATGCATCAGGTAGTGGTAGGAAGTTTTTTGGCTGGAAACCAGCATGAGCAAAAGCCAAAGAAACAGAAAATTGAGGTGATATCCACAGCCATACCGACTGCTGTCATTCCCTTGTCTAGCGTTACCGATCCAGTCCCTCTCCTCACTTCCTCGTCTTGCTTCCGTGGCGACAATTGGTCTGCAATCCCGGCAGATAACAGGAATAACACCACCGCCAACACCAATGCCAACAATAATGGTAATGGTAACAATAATAGTAAGCCAACAGATATTAATGTGTCACTATCTGGAGGGTAATTTCATCCTATCTGCCATCTATATTCGTTGCTGACGACGTTGTAACGGACCTCCTAATTGATGAGTTTGTTTTCTATTGTTTCTTGTGACTGTAAGCTTATTGACAGTATCTTAGGACCGCCTTCTTGTTTTCCGACATTTATGGCTTTGTTTCTTTGTACAACCTAGTTAGGTGATTAAATCTGCCTCTGCTGCCATTGTGGTGTCATGTTTTGATGTATTTGTTATTCGCGTTTCTTCAGAGTGGTAGATTGTGAAATCCAAGCTATTCCTTGATCTGGATGCGTTTCTTGGTGCTTTTTGCATCAATCTGAGTTTCACTGATCTCAATCGTCGGATGCCTTTTGATTTGGCATTTCAAGATGCCACCTTAATTATCTCGCCAGGAAGTTTCTGAGAACGCAGAACCATTAAATGCTTCGCAGTTTCAAGGCTTGAAACTTACCCTTGTTTTGAAGATCGAAGATATTTAACATTTAATAAGTGCATGCGTATAGAGCCGTCAATTTCTCTTCTAGGCCCAAAAAAATTGAGGGTCGGGCTTCTATTTTACCGTTAAAAAAGTAAATCGGGTCTAAAAGGGTCCTTTTAAGCCCGAAAATAAAAGGGCCGGCCCTTTTAAGTCCGTTTATAATTTTTTTAAAAAAATTATAATATAAAAAAATAAAAGATTAAATACATAATTTAAAGAAATGAACATATTAAATGCATTCATTCATCCCTCATTCATTTATTAAGATTTAGCTAATAATATTAGCTAAGTTTAATTTTTATTGGTATTCACTTTGATATTGCTATTTGATATTGATATTAGACTTAAATATTTTAGTTTTCTTTATTGTTGTGGTGTAAATTGATTTAAATTTATTTTTTTAAACTTAATTTTATGAATAATTACTTTTTTATTATTATAAATATATATTTTATAATTTTTAATTGAAAAAATAATTTTAAAAAAATAAAGCCGAGCTCCTGAGGGCCGGCCCTTTAACCCTGAGGGTTAGGGCCGGGCCTTAAAAAATGAAATCCTGGTATGTAATCGGGCTTATTAGGGCCAGCCCGTTTAGGCCCTGGCCTTTCAAAGGCCGGCCCTTTAGGACCGGGCTGGCCCTAATTGATAGCTCTACATACGTAGATGGCACTGTGCATCGATTTAACACTTAGAAAGAATGGTTTAGATCAGCACGTGGGCTTGGAAGCGTCTACCTACCCACACTGCACACTCGAACTTTGCTTTAATTTGCACGACACTATTGCTAATCGAATTGCAGAGTAAATCCAGTATTCAGGATTGAATGAGACACAAAATATCAGGAGATGTGCAGCTATGTGATCCCAATGGATTATCCCTCGGAGGAAAGGCAGCGTACCAGACTATAATCGGGAGTGATGATTTCGATGAAATTAACTAAAGTACGGAAGTCAGAGAAATAAAAAAAGAAATTATTTTTATTTCTCTCTCTAAATTTGAAAAATTAATCTAAATTCGCTATTTATCAAAATTCAAGTGACCTGGTCTTGTCTAACATAAAAGCATCCTGGTCCCGCAGTTGAATCTCCGATGCGATATACATGTAATAAGATAAGATGCTTTGAGACTAGAGAGTCATGCAGCTCATCTGTTTCGTCTCGCCCTCTCTGAGCGTGATTCCTCGTTTTTTTTATTGATATTATTTTTTTGTATTTGTAGATTGAAAATTGGCCGAAGAAAAAACATTTTGTAGATTCCACTGTTCAAGAAAGTTTTTGGGAGCTGTTACGTGTCAAGCATCAAGCCCACTCAGGCAAAAAACAATTATCTCTCAAAACGGCTTCCAACCTGAAGCATCCCAGGTTGCTTTAACAAACTCTCTTCAGTCCACTTACACATCATCAGTAGCATTCCATAAAACCCAATAATTTTTAATTCTAAAACTATTTTAGTTCCCTTAACATTAGAAAAAATTATATTAAGTTTCCAACAGGAGATCATATGGGCCAAAAATATTCTTGAAATGCATACAAAAGATCACAATTCTTCTGTACCCTTTGTATTAATTATTCATTAGCGAGACCCACATAAATTTTTCATTATATGTATTTTCTTTATCTCACCTCTCTCCCCGTTTCCCACTCCACTCTCTCCCCATCTCTCTCTCCCCTCCCTACTTTCTCTCTTCATCTTTGACTTAGCCACCACTTCCATCATCTGATGAGAGGAGACGAGAGACGTGACTACACAGTGAAGAGAATGTTCAAAGAAGGGTGCTATGGCGGGTGCAACCATTTACATTCATTCTCACATTCCTCATTTGCTTCCTCTCTCTATATTAACCTTTTCCCTACCGATCTCCTCTCGCAACCAGTCTATTGCGAGGACATGTCCCTTGCACTATCCAGGCAGCGTCGGTTCAAACACTAAGTCAAAATTGTTGCCTCAAGCTCTCTAAAGAGTTATTCGGCAACATCAACTACGCTTACGGCAAGGATCTTGATCGTAGCAGGTATTGTCTGGTGCCGGCGGCCTGGCTCTTTGCAGCTTGTGCTTGATTGACTTTGGAGGTTTCATCTTCAACTACTGTGACTGGTGGTGATCTTTTGATGATGTTGGATGACTCGTAGAAGTGTGTGAATTCACTCATGATGCGCTTCTACGTCACAACATTTAGATTCCTTCGCTCAACGCCAGCTGTGACGCTATACTATGCTTCTGCAGAATCAAGCTTCACCAAATCGCCTCCTTGACCTACCTTGCCGTTTCAATGTCTCTCTCTCTCTCTCTCTCATGCCTAGAAACCCATGAGTCAAGAGGGACACCTCATGCATCTCAGGTTTAGCTGCATCGCAGGGGCAAGCTGCTTCATCATGTGCACGTGAGAAGATGCTGCTACTTTCGATGGTAGATGGACTCTGGAGAAGAATGGCGAGAGAGCTTGAGGGATGCGATGGGTATAGGCAGATGCAAATTGGTTTAGTTTAGCCCAGGATGATGGTAAGAGCATGAGCATGATGAAAGAAATAGTTGATATTGTTGAGAATGGTGTTAGTGAAGGGAATAGAGGTGAGAGGAGAGAGGCGGATGAGAGGGGGAGAGGTGAGGTGTTAAAAAAAAATAAAAATGAAGAAGGCCCCTCAACAAGTAATTAATCCCATGATATGGAGAAATAAAATTTTAAAGTTGAAATAAAATTAACCCTTAATTTAATTTAAAATTAGTTGTGACTTTTTATGTAGACTTCAAACACATTTTTTTACCATTAACCCTATTTATTATAAAAGTTCATAAAAATCATAATTAGACTGAAGGACCAAATACGAAAAAGTCAAAATTAAAACAACTTGCCTTTCCGAATGTGCTGCTCAACTTCCACGATATCAAAGACATTTTCACTCCCCAATGAGAGGAGATATGACGAAAGCGGCCCTCAATCCGAAAATCCATTGGGAGTCAAAACGGGGAGTTAATTTAAATGATTTACAGCGGAAATGGAGCGTGAAACCTGATTCCCCGATGACTTCATGTTCCTTCATTCACATGTCATCGTTTGGCCAAAATAATTTTTTTAAAAAAAATTCAACGTCATTGATTAAGAATCTGCTAGCTCCTAGCAGCAATTCCTAACTGATGCAAGAGATTATACAAATCCCAGAAATGACGAAAGGAAAAAATATCCAGACATCGTGTTTCAGCAATATTCTCATTAATGTAATAAGGAAGCCACAAATTCCTATCCGAGGCCAGATCCTGCATCCTTGCGGGGCGCATCAGCCTTGATGCGAGGTGGCCTGACAATACGATCAATAAGCCCATATTCGAGAGCCTCCTGTGCATTGAAGCGTTTCATCCGGCCCAGGTCTTTGCTTATCTGAGTATATGCAATAACGTTAGATTTCAAGCCAATAAAACCAACGTCCCCAAATATAGGAACCATCAGATGAACACCCGAAAGACTAAGATTGACACGCTCATAAAAAGGATATAAACCATAAAAGTAACGAGTCATAGAAAACCAACGTTCTCAAATCTCAAATATAGGAACCATCAGATGAACACCCGAAAGACTAAGATTGACACGCTCATAAGAAGGCTATAAACCATAAAAATAACAAGTCATAGAAACCTAATATAGATTGGCAAAGCATGATAAGTTTACGCAGTGTGTTAAAGATTAATTAACTCTCCCCACAGAAAAGCTCAAGCTTTTCCATAGAACTCATTATTCTAGTTCAGTGCGTAAGTGGTAGGGCGAAAATGGTCATGAATATGGCAGAAAAAAACACCGAGTATGATCATGATGCAAGCTAGCAAACCTATTTATCTCCATATTTTTCATCATCGAGCAAACTCACCTTCTCAACAGGCTGACCTGTTTTACTTGCCAACTCATTGAAAAGATAATCTCTGATTCTAAGAAGCTCATTTGCTTCATTACGGATGTCATCAGCCTAGCCAAATTTTCGAATGTCAATCAGCTTCAAAATTTTAAAAAGAAAAAAGATCCCATTCATTGATTTAAAAGCTGATGAATGATGACAGCTGTAGTCTCAGAGTTAAGGCAGTCTCACCTGACCCCGGGCAGATCCTGCCGGAGACTGAAGAGCAATTCTTGAAAGAGGCATTGCAAAGCGGTTCCCCTTAAAGGAGTATAACATTAAAAAAGGATTAGTAGAATTTCAGTTGTCTTCCAAAACCTAGAGGTCAAAAGCCTCAACAAATGAGCATAGTTTACACACTGCATTGAAAAGAATATGAAATATGAATGTGAGAACACAAACAGGATTGGAGCCAGAGAAAAAAGGGAAGCTCGGGACTCAAAGTTATGCTATTATTAATAACTGGAAAGTAACTCCACATGTTACTCTTCTTTTTCTATTTGTAGCAATGGGACGATGAGTGATTGCAAACAATGTCGACATGTGGTCAAGGGGCATTGCACAAGGGGAAAAAAACTATCTCCAAAATCCCTATTCAATGTCATACTGCACAGCAAATAGAACTTTTCAAATGGGTGTAGTCCTCGCACATAGCCATGCATAGCCATGGGAGCAGAGAAAGGCAATTCTTCTGTTTTGGTTAAATACCTGATTTAACGTCTCTGTCAAAGGATTGGTACAGGTAAAAATTTATGGAACAGATAAAAACTCTTCTGTAGAGTAGTCCAACCATAAAGGTCAAGCCATATTAATTGTTTAAGTGGGGCTTTGGAATCTCCATCCATAAACCCCTCCATGATAGACAGGTCTTTAGAAAGTCACACTTAAGGGTCAAACACTATCTCAAATTTGTACCTTTTCCCCAGCGGCAAGAAGAAATGCTGCTAGATTATAGGCATAGCCAACACAATGGGTGGCAACCGGACTTTGCAAGCTCTGCATGGTGTCATATATAGCCATGCTTGGTGTAAGCTGCAATAAGTTGCAAATTTTAGCTCTCGTAACAAAATAAAATGGAGGGAAAAAGCATCAAAAATGTTGATTCATTGAAGACTCACATCCCCACCAGGACCATTAATGTACATATAGAGCTTCTTGGAATTATCTACACTGTCAAGATATAGCATAGTTGCCAGTATTTGGTTGCTAAATTCTTCATCTATTTCTTCTCCAATGAAGATAACACGTTCACGATACTGCATCCAAGAATTCAGTGGTTTTCTTTCAAAAACAAAGCAAAATATCAAATGCACACACTCACTCCAAAAGGATTAGGGAAATATAGAGGAATCTAGATGCCCGCATTAATAACTTACAAGGGCATTCCACAGATCAACCCACTGCCAGGTTCCCTCACCAGGCGTTCTGTAGGGAACTCTAGGGGTCCCTATGGGCATCATCTGAATTTGCGCCCTTGTTGCTCTGTGGTTTTTAGACCTGAAAACGTGAAAATTTATGCTGCTTGCATTAATCCATATACTCATGCAATAAATGACAAGAACTCTTGTGCGAGGAAAACCAGAAGAATCAAAAGCAGTGTGTTTTCACATTTACTTCACTCCTTTGGTCTTATTTATAGGGCAGAAAGAGAAGAAAAAGTTTAGTCTTATTTATAGGGCATTTGTCAATTTCCAATGCTTGTCTTTACATTTTCATCCTTATTAAATACTTTAAATAAAAATATCAGTAATAAGATTTAAGAATATTTATTAAGGGTAAAGGTGAAAATTTGTTAAATTTTAGACAAAATTAATGAAGTTTAAGGTTATTTTTTTAATTCCAGTAAAACATGTTGCAAGTGATTTATAAATAGGATCAGATTTAGTATTTTATGAAAACAAGGGATACAGAGAAATAAAATAAACCAGGAATACAGTAGCTCAAATGAACGAAGAGCAACCAGCCATCCACACTAAAGCTAGCATAGTAGCATACAAGGAGGAGGACACGGTTTCTTCCGACAAGGATTACGAGGCAAAAGAAAGGAAAGAGAGCCAAAAATATCTGTTCCTCCTATTTAAAGGTTAGTCTATCAGATGGAAGAATTCACTCCTAAGGCACGAACAATCTAATCTATTTCTTGCTGGTTAATGGTATTGAACGGAGGCGAGCAAACACCAGTTTTCCCCCCTTTTAAAATCAAAGCCTAGCTAAAATCCAGCAGAGCATTATACCACCGTCGCCCTCTAAAAATCAAATAGAAAAGAAGGGGAAGTGAGGTGCTCAGACCAGAGGATTACCGCCACTGGAGACTCTTGTGAACTTTTCCATAAAACTCAGCGGTCAAGTTGGGTTTCCCCGCTCCAAAAGGGCCTATAATTGCATTAAAATTATTATTGATTAAATCAATAAACGAGGCAAAATATGGTAGCAATCACGCAGGGATCAAAAACAAGTATAACGCAAAAGAAGTGAGCATACTTGCGGATTGGAGTTTCAATCCCGAATATAGCCTGGTCCCGCAACTGCTATTTAAAAAAAAAAAAAAAAGAACCCAACAATATCAATTGAATGCCAAATATAATTAGCACAAACCACCGCAGATAAAAGGATGGGGAGATAACCTAGGAGGAGCAGAAATCCGTTGCGCGGAAGCAGAGGTATAGGGTGCAACCGCCATTTTAAAATGAAGAGACGGAGAGCGATGAAGGAAGAACGAGGAGAGGAGTCCGGAAGAAAACTGGATAGGGAGGCCACTCATGTCACTGATCGGATCCAAACGACCCAACCTCGCCAATCGCCGTCGTTGCAACCTTGAGATGAAATAAAACGAAGAATCCCGTATTAAGTCATTCTCGTCCCATATTTTGTTTAATATTAAGTCATTCTTCTCCTTTATAAAAGAGGTTTCAATGATATTAAAATTTTAGATTAGAAAAATACGTATTAAATTTTGTCAAATTTGAGGAGTAATCAAAATGATTTTAATACTTCCTTCATTTTAAATTATAGAATATTTTTAAATGAAATTTTACATACTAATAAACTTCATTAAATATATTTAACAACTTTATCTTTTTAGAGTAAAAATATAAAATTTTCAAAATACTTATAATTTAATATATTAAATAGAGAGATAATAAAAATTAATTATAAAAAAGAAAAGATAATATTAAAATTGAAACATTTAATGATATATCAATTTACTTAAAATATTTTATATTTTAGGATAAAGAAATTTCTTAAAAATTGTTCTATAATTTAAGATGGAGGGAGTAATATTTTTGCCTACGCTTTTTAACAATAATAATAATTTTAATTTTAATTTCAATTTAATTATAAGAAATACATTATCTAAATATATATATAAAGTTTTTTTATGTTCACAACATAAGTTTAGTTTGTTATAAATTTTAAATATGGAATATTTATATTATTTAAATATATATTGAATAATATATTAATGAGTTTAATTAATAATATAAATATAAATATTTTAACTAAAGAATCTTGTGATTTGAAATTTTTATTTGAAGGACTTCGCTTCTCTCTATTTTTTCTTCTTTTCATTTCCTCTTCACTTTTTATCTCAATTATTGGATTTATTTTTCAATAGTTGAGATTTAATATTTTACAAAATTATTATTATATTTATTTTTTTATAAAATTTTACATTTTAATAATAACTTTATAAAATATTAAATTTTAACTATTTAAAAATAAATTCAATAGTTGAGATGAGAAGTAAAGAGCAAATAAAGAGAGAAGGAAATGGAGAGAAGCTTTCACTATAGATTTAATTGCATTTTAAATTTAATTTAACAGTAAAAAATTTAAATTAGGCCGCACCAGTATGAGATCGCTCAATAGTTTCATCATGAGCGGGTTTCAAAAGAAACTTACCAATTTCTTGTGGATAAGATCCGGTCTAGACTGAGTGAATGGAAAAGTAAATAATTTGGCTTTGGCAGGGAAACATACACCGGTAAACTCTGCTTTAAGTTCTGTTCCTGCGCACGCCATGCAAACTACTCCTCCGGTCTTCATAAGTCATTTTTACTAATTTTATTAATACTAATACAAAAAAATAAAAAAAATAAAAAAGTGTAAAATTTTAAATATACCCTTTATAACAATTTCAAAAAATAATATTATATTATTTTTTTTCTCTCAGTAATTTTAAAATTTTTTTAAATATTACTTAAAAATCTGTATCATAATTTATAAATGAAACTAAATAAATTTTTTAAAATGTTTTATAAATGTGATTGAAAGAATACATTGTTACCTGTTAATTGTTGTGAGGATATTGACAAGAGCTCCGGGCAATTCTCATGGGGTCCACGCAAGCTCACAGTAAGCGCCATCTTTTTGCTTGGGACATGGTTTGTGAAGAGAAGTGGGTAGAAGGCCTAGGTTTGAGGCATGCAAGATCTCTAAACCAAGCTTATCTCATGAAGATTGGTTGGAGCTTTGTAAGAAATCGGGATGCCCTATGGGTTAAGGTGCTTAGAGGAAAGTATAATTGTGGTGAAGATTTAATTCCAAAGATTGATGAGAATTGGGAAGTGCATGGGCCCTAGAACCTAGAGAGGGATTAAAGCCACTTGGAATCATATTCGGCAAGGGATAGAAATTGTGAATAGACAAGGACAAGAAAGAGACAGATGGCGGCTGGAGAAGCATGGAGACTTTACGTTGAAGCCTGCATATCAGTCGTTGCGTCCAAATGATTGCCAATAGGATGCCCTCTGGTCTTTGATATTGAAAATGAAGATTCCACAGCGCTGTCGGATGCAGTCGTCGTTGATTTGACAGGGCAGAATCATGACCAATGGAGCGAAGATAAGGTGAGGTCTTCATGCAACTGGTCTCTGAGATATTTGTCACAGCGAGAGGGAGGATGTTGTTCATGTGCTTAGAGATTTTGTGTGTGGGCAAAGGAGGTTTGGGATGCTTTGCATGCAACCGCAATTTTGACTACCTTCTGGACCCTTGACGATAAGAGACGGATTGACGCTAGCCTTCGCATTAAGAAAGATTCAGGTACAGGGCGTTGGAGCAAAGAGTTTGGAATGATGTGTCGGTTACTTTGGAAACGCAGGAATGAGCGAGTCTTCTTACAATAAACTGAATAGCTTACCTCATGTTTAGCTGAAGCTAACGGCATCCTGAGTTGTATATCACGAGCAAAGATTCAAGGTGGGCAGCTTGCAGTGGAAGAGAGGAACTCAAGGAGGATGAATGCACGGCCTGAAGCATGTGGCCGAATACTAGTGGATGAGGCCTTTTCGGCGCCCGTGTCCCGAGCCAGAGGTTGTGGAGGGGTAATTTATCTACCTTCTGGGCAATTAGCAGAAGCTTTTGCGTTGGGGTTACAAGATAGAGATCATGTGACAGCTGAGTTATGGGGTTACGCCGTGCCTGGGAGAAGGAGCTCTGGTCCGTTAAGCTATTTCGTGATTCTGCAGAAGCTATTGAGCTGAGCTGATTAGGATGAATGCTCATGATCTGCATGAAGACTGGGCGCTTATTCAAGAGATTAGAGGATTAATACAGCGAGAGTGGCAGTATTTGTGAAGATGCAGAATAGCGTTGCTGACTTCTTTGCCGAATATGCTTTGGGACAGGTGACTAGACTTCGAAACAGGGTGTGGAAGCTAGCATGCTGATGACGGAATTGGAGCCTGATTAGTGTTTTTGGTGTTATGTGTTTTCTTTCTTGTTTTTGTTTTGGCTTTCCATTGATTATCTGAAAAAAATGATAGTTTCATGTAAATTGAGAAAAATCGTAAATCGGCATTGCTTCATGCAAATATATAATTATATATTGATTATGCCCACTCATTCTGTAAGTAGTCAGTTTAAAAAAAAAATGTTGAAAAAAGATCCACATATCATTATCATTATTTTCATTAAAAAGTAAAACATTTACGATGAAAATTGAAACTGTAAAGTGGCGTGAGATTGTCATATGATGCTCCCATCACTTGCTTTCCATACCAGTTAGAGTTTGATAAAAAATAGATTTCACTAGGGGGTAGAAAAAGAAAAACGAAAAGAAAAGAATCTCACATTTTCCTTCAGTGCACTATTACAAAAAAATTTTTGTCACAATTGGAACTATTGAATTTTTTAAAGAGGTATTTATATTTTTTATCTATTCTTTTTCATATATACTTATGTGTAACTAGTTATGATTCTTTAGTTTTGTTTTAAATGTCTAAAAAATTTGACAACACAATTCTTTTATCATTTGATAAAATAAAAGGGATTTTTTAAAACTCAAAAACTTATAAGTTCAAGTATTATCATGTTTTAGGTTTAATTAATAATTTGTTTGAAATGGAACAATTTATAATTTAATTGTTATTAGTTTGTTTGAAATAAATATTAGTTACATAAATATTGTAGATAGATTAAATTATAAATATATGATGTTTTGTTATTGTTTCTAATTGCCTGATACTAGTAATTTTCATATTAACTAAGAGGTTGGGAAAGAAAATAAATAAAATATTTAAAAAACAACAACACTTTTTACACCATTTAAATAATACAGCAACTAATATAGAATGTATAACTTACTAGTTGTTATATGGATTTGAATTCAGTGATTGTACTTAATACAGACATTGAATGTCTGTACCATTTAACCCATTAAAATCTAAATCAATGATTATGAATTTATACTTCACTTAAAATTAATAAATGAGTGAATTTATTTTAATCGTTTGATTTATATTTTAATGATTTAGATGATACAGGTACTCAATACCTATATTAAGTACAATAACTAAGTTTAAATCCTTATTATACCAGTTATTGCATTAACTAGTGTAAATAAGTCTTTTTAGTAGTAGTGTTAGCTGCGATGGGACTGGTCATTGGCATTTTAGGATTGAAATCTGAATGCAACAGCTGGTGAAAACGTTAAGACCTATAAACCAAAGAATACAAGAAATTCAATCAGTATTGCAGCGGCCTAGTATTATTGAGTAATCATAGTAAAGAGAAGAATTGAGATTTGAGAAAGATAATCAAGAATTTATATTTAATTAAGAGCATTTGTACAATGATGAAATGGCTTTAAAATAAACTAATTTTAACTAATTTTTTTTGTTTATTAAGTCAATTGAAGATGAATTATAAGTGGCAACTGAAGTCGTACAATAGATTACCTTCTTTTCTTTCCTTTTCTTTTTTGGCGGACACAAGCTAAACTAAAGTGCCATCTCTACTTTACTTTTGAAGTAGAATTCAAAGTTGAAAAAACACTTGCAGAAGGGCTTGTTTAGCAACCTATTCTGAAAATATTTTTTTAGTTTTTCAGAACAAAAAAATAAAAAAATCTGTTTAATAATATATTTTTAAAATATATTTTAAAAAATAAAAAACCAAAATATTGTTCTGGAGAACAGAAAAATAAAAATAACTTTTAAGTGTTTTGAGATTATTGTTTTAGAAAAAAAGAGAGAATGAAAAAAACACTTATTTTTATTATTTTTTATTCTCAAAACATATTTTACAAAATACTAATTTTTAAAACAATAAAATAAAAATAGTTTTAAATAGCCTTAAAGTTTTATGCACCACTCAACTTGTAGAACAAAATTCGTGGAATATTTCTTGCATTTACAAATTACAAAATCACATGCCCATTGCACATTTTCCAATTAAATCCATGATTTTGTGAACTAGGTATCCTTTCCCCATTATTAATATTAATGCCTCGTTTGTTACAATAAAAAAGTTTTTAAAGAAAGTGAAAGTGGAGTTAAAAGTAAAATTAGAATTAAAAATATGTTTGGCATATTGATGGAAGTGAGATATAAAGTTTAATTAATATATCCATTTATAATGTGAAAAGACTTTAATGCTCTTGTCTAAAAAATCCCTAACCACTGCCCTGTTAGCTACAGCCACCCAGTTCCATCCAATCTCACAATCAAAGAAAATTGAAACCAAAAGGTCATCAGATTCATATGAGAAAAACAAAAAAGAAAATTGAATTAAAGAAATTGAAATGTCATAAGATGGACTAAGAACGAATGAAAAGATGCAATGGATTGCCTTGTTTTCTAAATCAGACTGTCTTGGATCATCAACTTTCTTTCCCTCTCATGTTCTTCATAGCACAACTCGCCGCCAAGGGAGATTGACTAGAAATCCACTTTCAAATGAAACAATCAAAGACATAGATTGAAGAGGAAATCAAACTAGAAATTGCGGCCCGTGAGTCTAGAGTCATCACACTTTGCCATTTTCCGTCGTCATCCTCCACTCTACTCTCTTCGAAGTTGAACTGGAAATGGTGGGTTGGGTCACCACCCTATGGTTGCTCCATCTCTTTCATATCTACATCATCACTGGAATCGATTGCACCATATTGAAAAACAAAGGGACGGTGGTGGTGATAGGTCACTGATCATTCTGAAACTCAATCAAGCTTCATTGCTACCGTCAATGGGAGCCATCAAGGAAGGAGGTGGGTCATTGGTTTCATCAAGGAAGGGGAGAGAAGGTGAGAGTTTGAAGGGTAAAGAGGGAAGTGGGTAACATGGAACCAAGTTCTATATGGGTCTTGGTGAAGTTAAGTTCCATCAATTTTGGTGGAAATGAAATCTTTGAAGAATTGAATTCTCATGCACCAAACATATAATTTTTGAACTTTTACTTCCACTTTCACTTCTTCAGCCTCACTTCCAGCATACCAAACAAGCTATAAGTGACTTTACAGAAGTTATATTTTATTTCATTCTTAATTGGTACACTAATCACTCGTAACAAATTTAATCACCTACACACTAAATTATATAAAAGATCAACTAGACATACCCTCCTGCGCTGCACGGGTTGTCCTATCATTTGTTTTCGCTAATTTCATTTCATATCATGTTGACTATATGGAATTAAACTGTGACAATACAATAACAAAGTAACTAACTTTTTAGCAATGTTCAACTTGAAAATTGTTAACGAAATTGTGCAATAACTTTTTAATGAGAATATCATTAACAGATTGGAAGGCTTTATGTTTTAAATTATTTCTTTGTACACAATATTAAATTCAATAACGCTTGTTTTAGGTGTTTTATTTTCTGCATGTATTGAAATCTTTAGACCGTCCATATTTCGAACTCTTGAAATTGCCACATAGATTTGCTCATTTGTGAACACTGCATCGGCAAATAAAGGCATTTAAGCGTTTCCTTTTTGTTGAAAGCCACCATTTTCCGGAGACAACGTATTTGATGTAAAATTTGAACTCATCCCGAGGAAATAAAATAAAATGGAATGAACAGCAGTCAATATGCCAAAAGTAATGAAATCCTCAGGAACAGAAAGCGAATTTTTAAATTAATGTGAAAACAATAACGAAATCCACAGAAACAGAATGGTCACTGGTTATAAAAGGAATTTCGTTATAAGTGCGGTACCATCCTACCTCTCCCTGAGATATTAGCTATATCCAATACATGAACGAAACTATAATTTAATAGATATATATATCCAACGTGCAGGGTACGATCTTATTTCTACAACCAAAACCCCGCAATTCATCAAAAAGTACAGGTTAAAGAAATAGTTATCTGCTCTATACCATACAGGTTTTGAAAACTTTGTTGCACTGGCTGGTGGTACTTCCAGATAGCATTCCACAATACAAGCAATCATCTTTAATTATTCATCGTCATCTAGTGACGTGTAGATCATCCTGCAGCAAAATATTCATTAAGAATAAGATCATCCTCCTTAATGCAGAGCTTAAAATTAATATAGCCAATCATAGGCCTATTTACTAGTATCCATACCAAAATATGGAGAGGAAAAGGATGAAAACGAGATAGAATAGCTTGATGAGCCGTTGTTTTTTCTCCCAAGAGAGTGAATTGAAAATCTCGGTAACATCAACAAGATGCTCTCTTCGCCTATACCTGATCAGATGAATCAAATATGTCTTAGCAGAACTCTATCAAGAAGAAGGAGAAGGAGAAGGAGAAGAAGAAAAGCCTTACTGGGACACTAGGACCACACAGAGCAAATTCCAGTGTATTGAGATATCAAGTTTGATTATTTATTTGCATAAAACAAGGAGCTTCAGCCAAAAAAACAAGGGTAAGACTTGTGTACTTAATCTTATATACTTAATATGCTTATATTCAATCAAAGTATGACAGGTGAATCTTAATGCATTAACTAAATTAATAAGAAGAATTTATTATAGAATAAATAATTTATAAAAGATCCTTGTGTCTTCATTTAATTGAAAATAAGCACATTAAGTACATAAGTTTTTTCCAAAGAACAATTCATCTCTGTCAATCCTATAACTAAAGTGCAACCATCTAAATGCTGTTAACAATTAGTGAAAGACAAGAACGCCATCCAATTGTAACTAAATGACAAATAAATAAGTAGATGTATATGAATTCTCCAACTGGGAACTGCTGCGTTCATTGGAAAGTAACAAATGGCTCAGTAGCTAACAATAGGTCTGTTTTCAACTTATTAACAGCTTCAAAAGCTGTAGTTATTCATTTTTCAGACATCGTATCTTTCCCTTAGGTAATGTGGTTGAAAACCATCAATAACATACAAATTGTAGTAATTAGCATGCTCATGGGCTCATCAACTCTGGATCCACAAATGGCTCAGAGCTAACAATAGGTCTGTTTTCAACTTTTTAAAAGCTTCAAGAGCTGTAGTTATTCATTTTTCAGACATCGTATCTTTCCCTTAAGTAATGTGGTCGAAAACCATTAATAACGCAAAAATTGCAGCAATTAGCATGCTCATGGGCTTATCAACTCTGGATCCATAAACCTTAACAAAGGTTGCAGCCATCAGATTGGTTTGTCCATGCCACATTAAGTTACTGCTTTTGCTAAGCAGTCACACTCACACTCACCCCTTCAAATGCTGCAGAATGCCAAGACCCAGACTTCAATAACTCTCCTTTCTCTCTTCAACCAGTGGCCATGCATGATTTCCACTTTAAACCCCCCACCCCGGGGGAAAGAAAAAAACCCAAAGCCCCCCAAAAAAAAATCCTCTTTTTATGCCACATTCCCCCTTCAAGGTTTCTTGGAAAATGAAAAATTCAGTCACAATATTTAGTAACAACAAATTTGCCCTGTTATTTGTAGAAAGGGAGAGAACTTACAATCTCACGTTGTAGTATAGGTATGGAGCACTGAAAAGTGACATAACCCAATGCCCTGTCACAAGGTAGAACAAACAGAGGACACCTTGCATGATAAACTCGGGGAAAACAACTCTGTTTATCCGGGATGAGGAGTCGTAAGGATTTATATAATCAAATTCTAGGTCAGCCAAACACATCAGCTGCAACAAATTTTAACCCATGTTAGCATAAAACAGAAAAGACCAAGAACAGACAAAATGTAATTGGGGAGGATTATGAAACAAACAATAGCCCTCAGAAGGCTCTTGAGCACAGACAGAGAAGTAACCAATGTGGAAATAGGAACACATTTAAGGTATAAATCACAGCACAAGAACTTAAAAGTTTCAGAAAAAATTGATTCTCCTGCCATTTTTTCTTCGTCTTAAACAGATTTCATCAGTACTTCCTCACCCTTTGACCCATCAAATTTAGCGTATGGACCTCTACCCAAAATTTGAAGAAGAAACAACATATGTTTATTTAATAGATATCGTATATCCGTACATATGCGATCACTCGTAGGAAGATCTTAATTCTGTACATACGTGCTCGTAGAAACACACAAGCTTCTATGTAGTAAAGAAATTGTTTATCTAATAGATATCCATATCCATCAGATTTGCAAACTGCAACAGACAATTCCAATTGTCTCTCCAACATCTTGTTATCAATTCTAACCTGAAGATATACACGGCAAACAGATTTGGACTAGCAAACATAGCTTGCAATAATGACCAGATACGATTCATCGTTGCCTGCTATGGAACTCTAGATTCCGTTGAGATCGCAATTCAAAATAACGGAGCGAAGTGATTTGAGTTTTCTATTCACAAAAAAAATAGCACCTTGATGGAAAAATTCTATCGTCAGGTGCAGTAATAATATTATTAATGAAGATTCCAATCACTATTTATATTCACCCTGTTGCGGTACCATCACCTGAGTAAGCAACCATGTTGTTTATGGCTGGTGCCAAATCATGTTCCTTATCTAAGCCAAAATGCTACATTTTGCAAGGAAATGTGGAATAGAGAGAATCTTTAGCCTGACTATTTTTCCTTGGGCGAAACTAATTGTCATCTAAATCCATAATTCAGATTAGCTGGAATAGCAATCTGGAACACCAACCACTTCAGAAAGAGGCACATAATTCGGATAATGCGAAGTCGAATGACGAATAATTTGCTTCAAATTTTAAAGATGGACGGACGTGAAGGAGTGGTAAATACATTTATATATAGCTAGGGTTTGTATGGATTGACCTGGTAGGTGACGATGACGAGTAAGGCAATAAGGAGAAAGAAGGAGATGAGCCACGCAAATAGATCAGCCATGGTCCTCCCTCACCTCCTTCTTCAACTCGTGCCCCCCCTCCGACTGCAATTCCAGCGGAACGCGGTGGCTTCGTGCGATGGGAAGTGCGCACGTTAGAATTGGTGCGCACGGTTGGCGATTTGAGTCATGAATAATGAAAACTGCGAACAAGACAAGAAAGTGGCCCGAGACAGCTTAAAGACGCTCAAAGCAGAATTCCAACCAGTCGGGGAAGCTGAGATTCCAATCCAAGCCAGGCAAGCCACTCCGTTGTTCCCCCTTCCCTTTTTGCTCTTTGAATCTTCTGTCATTCCAGGTCGTCCCCGAATAAATTATGTATAATGCGTCTTATTTATTTATTTATTTATTTTTGCCAGAATAATGCGTCTTATTTATTTATTTATTTTCGTCGGAACAATGCGTCTTATTTATATTTACTATTATTATTACTGTTTATTCGCATTTTTTCATTTATTTATATTATCTAGAATAATCATTTTCTAAATCATGTCGGATGATTTTTCATAAAAATTGTTATGTGATAATATAAATAAGTATTAAATAAATACTTAAATAAATCGAGTACACAATATTAATTATGATCTATCCAATAAAAGTATGACATTTAAATTATATTAGATATAATTTAATTATGATATTAATGATAATAAAAAGCGAAAATGTAATAAATTAAATGTATATTATGTTATAAAAATAAAATAAATTAAAAAAATATCACACAAAATTTTATTTATATTACTTGAATTATTTTAATTGGATAAATTAAAAATGATGCAGCGCATTCGGTCTATTTAAGTATCTCTCATAAATATTAATACTTTAAATCTAAATTCAATTATTCAAAATTCAGAATATATAATTGTGAATAAATATTGCATAATTTTCTCGAATCATCTAAAATATTTTTTAAGATAAGCACTGGGTTTTGTATACAAGCAGTTCATATTATCTAATCAATTTTGTTAGCATGCTTTAATATTGGCAGCTTAAGGTCAAATTTATTCGTAATCTTTTCATATTTCACCGAATATGTTTTAATTTGATATTTGTTAATAACTTCTGAATAACAGTTAAATATCCAGACTTGGATTTCCAAACATTAAATTGGTTTTCAAATTTATGAATGACCATTGCAATGTAATATCGTTCAATATATGGAATTTGATATTTTTCAATTCAAAAATGGAAAAGGTTTCAGCAAAGATATTGGCGGGATTAACTTGTAATCTGAGTATCTTTAGTTTTTAACTTAAACAAGTAAAATTTTGAAAGATTATATATATTAATTTTTAGATTTGTATAAATATGAATAAATATTCATCAATTTTTTATTAAAAAAAGTAATCGAAGAAATAAGTTGCAAAACCATGCTGGTGTCATTTTAGGGGAAACCCCCCCCCCCCCCAAATTTGACTAAAAATGTTTGGATGTGGTTAAAAAAAAAACATAAAACCTGTTTTTTGCTAACAATAGATCATTTATTTAAAATTTAAAATTTGGATTTTATAGCATAAAGCACATGAACAAATTAAATATATACAAAGGTGAAATGTATGTTTTTAATAGGATCTGCTAATTCTCATACACTGGTTGTCTCAAAATTATTGATCAAATTCAACATGTTCGACCAAACTCAAAACAATGGTTGAAACAGGTTGGAGAGATCAAGCTAGCATGTTTGGATTCCATTGTAACCTCAGTTAAAGTAGGGAAAACTGAAGTTAGAAGGTAAAATGATAAAATTATCTTGTTTGGATTAATAAGATCTTTCAACCTCAGTTGGCATGAAAACGTGCGTTGAGTTTAAAGCTGATTGCCCTGGCTTTTTCTTCTGCGCGTTCACGTTAGTGCCTCTTAAAATACATTTTCTGATGTGTTCTCTCTCTTATCTCCTGTAGCTGTGCTTAGCTTCCTGTGCGTGTGTTGCTTTTATTCCCTTGACCTTCCCATCTGCTCCAAAACACACACAGATCTTGCATAAAGCTCTACACACCAGATCTGCCTCCTTCCGTTAGTCATTTACTCCCTCCGGCCGATCTCCAGCTCCAGTCATCTGCATCCAACCGATCTCCAGCTCATTGCCGTCCTTTCTAGCGTCCACCGTGTCCTTGCTTCGGAGTGCTTCTTCTTCCCGTCGCCTCTCGATCCTACTGTGTCCATCGGATCTACACTTCCCATCGCTGGATCTGCTCTCCATCGCTTGTCTTTGTTAAGTAATGTCATTATTTTTTCATCTCCTTCTTTGCTTCCTTCCTTTCGTGCCTTGCTCCTCGTTTTTTGAAGACTATTTTTACTAAGACTATTTTTGAAGACTATCTTTACGTTCCATCCCCTGTTTTGTTTACGTTAGATCAGAGGAAGACCTGGCTTTCTTTTCTTCTAGAACTCAAGTTGTTGGTCTTTATTTTCGTGGCTTATCGTCCTTTGCTATTCCAGAACTTATCTGTACTTGGTCTCCTCTTTATTTTCCATCCCCTGTTTCGTTTATCTTAGAGCAGAGGAAGAGCTGTTGTTATTTTTTTACTGGAACTCAGTTGCTGTTTTCTATTTTCTTGATCTGTCGTGCTCTACATCTATGGATAGGAATATTTTTATGTTCATGACTTTGCTTCCTCGCTTTGTCTTCCTTTCACGTAGTAATATACTGAACATACATGAACAAGAATATGATTGTGTGACGATATATATTTGGCACGGGCATTCGCATTCCTATCTTTTAAGGCCATGTTAGGATCAGCGGTCCAAAATAATTTCTTTCTTCCAGGCATTCTCTTCCCGAATGTCGCGTTTTGATTACTTATATTTTATATACCTCTCGACTCAAGACTGCTCGTGCTTGTCCTCGTGTGGCGTACCAATCGGAGATACATGGAAAGGGAGATGCCAGCCTACAGTAGGGACCGGGAGTGGGTCTTAGTTGTCTTCACCTTTAATTATTAAATAACAATATTAAATGTTAGTGATTGTTAATTATTAGTTGATCAATTGAACTGAAGAGAGTTGGGAGGGGCATTCTGGCAAGTCTTGAACCGTACTATATCCAAATCATCAACATATTTATCTTATGTTTGGATTATGTTTTCAAGATTATATGTTTAGATTGTCAATTTTTGAGTAAAAAATAAATATAATTAGAAGGAATATATTCTCTTGTCTTCATTATTCCTTGAGAAAAATTAGTCAAGAATATTTATAATGTATGTATATATATGCCAGTGCATAATATTTGTCGTAACACCCTTGAAAAGGAATCTCAGACATTAGTTTTATTCTTTTATTGGTTAATATACAATCAAATTTCGTGGGGTTGAGTCCAGAATCTGTTTTCTTGATATTCTTTTATCGATTAATATTTTCACCCAGTGCATAATATTTGTTTTCTTAATTTATTCTTTTAAAGTTTAAAGATTCCAAAAAATACAAACATGCTTATTTAAGATTTAATATTTAAGATAAAAAATTCATGCTTATTTTTACTATTAAATATCTCAACTGGCTTTTGAATTAAACCATCCAAACGAATTTCAGTTTATCTGACTGACTTTTAAAAAAAATGGTATCCAAACATAAATCACATTACATCAACTGACTTTTCTTTTAACTTCAGTTTGCTAACCTCAGTTGAATTCTAACCTTAGTTATAAATTTTTTAATCCAAACACACACTATGATAAGTCACGGACAAACAAGTCCAGCCCAATGTGAAAAGGCAGCGATTTGATGCAGATTCACTGCTTTATCAAGTTATCATGCCTGTGATCGGTAACAATTAACCAGTTAATAATTAATAATCAATAACCAACTAAATGGCCTATTGTTCAGCTCATGACCAACGCATTTGTAGATGCTATATTTTTAAAAGACATATTTTAACCGTTACAAATGAAAAGCAATTATCTAAGAATAGAAGAAGAGAAAAAAATAAACAAGACTGATTGAAAAACGTCACATTTTAATTTAAAATTTTAAATCTTAAATTTATAAATTCTTTTTTTCATTATATATTTATTATTAAATTTAATTTTATTTAATGTGAGACCTTTTACATTCTCTTATATTCACTTATATTTAGACAAATTAATATTAATAAATTTTCTTGCTTACCTTTAGTGATCCCTTGAGTTTAAAAATCTATCTATCAGAAAAAAAAAATTGAATTAACTGGGCAGCTCATTATTATGTACGCTTGTCACTAATTTTCAATCATTCCATTCGCATTGCATTGGGAAGTTAACAAATTGATAGGCGATATGGTAATTATCGTCTAGCTTAAAATTACGTACGTAAGTGGCACCACCACTGACACAGACATCGAAGTCTCAGCACTCCACATTATTTATAAAAATAAAAAAGAAAAGAAAAATTTAGTATCCGCAGGGATTTCTGTGAAAAAAATTGAAAAAAAAAACGAATAAAATGAATTTTTTTATTATTTGAAAAAATTTCAGTGAAAACCCTTAGACTAGGAATAATTAAAAGAGAATCTTGAATTTATGAAATTTTATTGTAAATCTAAGGTATTGAATTGAAATTAAAATTTTATGAAAAATGATAAAGTTGTCCCTGTTTAATTTAAAGAGAAAATAAATTTAACTAGAAAAAATGAATTATAAATATGTAAAGTTACGAACAAGTAAAGTAGAATAATAAATAATAATTTAAAAGATAATGAATAACATATAATATAGATATGAACAAGTCGTATTAACATAAAAGCAGCATTTAAAATTGGTTCAAGCAAAAATATTATAATAAACAAATGAAGTATGATAATGAACGATAGCTTGAAGGGAAATGAATCACATAATAAAAAGAGGATACGAACAAATCATGCTAATATGAAAGTAACACTTTAAATTAATTCAAGTGAAATTATTATAATGAACAAGCGAAGTAAAACAATAAATAACAATTTAAAAAGTAATCAATAATATATAATAGGAATACAAACAAGTCATACTAGATAATTTTAATAGAGAGACGATCTTGTCATTTCTCAAAGAGTTTTGATTTCAATTCAGCAAGTGAAAATTTTCCCATTTTATGTTGTTAGAAACTCAGAATAATATAGTTGAAAAATATTCACATTAATGCTAAACAACGATCTCATCATGCAATGCTACCTACACGAGTTTCATGCATAAATCAAAATAAATGGTTATATTAATTTAGCTCCTGTTTGGTTGTTAAAAATAAAAGGAAAGTAATGAAATGAATTAAAAAAAAAGAAAATGATTAAAATGTGAAGGGATAGGTAAATTAAACCATATTTATAAAAAAAATGATTATTTAATTTATGAGTTGTTTGAAAAGTGTTGTGATTTTTATATTTATGATATATAATATTGAAGGGTGAGGCAATTTAATTCATTTTTCTTTTATTTATTTTTTAATAGATTTCATTTGCATATTTTCTATCAACCAAACGCAGCTTATATCAAACCGGGCAATCACGTGGCTTATGATGTACCAGGCCAAAAGTAGATTAATGGTTCAAGTCTTCAAGACCATTCACAAAATGCTATGGGCATACCTTATAACAACTACTTAAGTTTCCCAGAATCAAAGGTAACTAGGACGTGTTGTTGGCCATTTTTGAGATAATTATAACGGGAGATGAACGAACAGCGCCAATGGAGAGGCAGGATCCATGGTCATGTTGGCTTCCTCGGAGCAAGACGAGAGAGTGGAGGGCTTTGAACACAGGAAGAAATTCCTCGATCCCAAGTTCTTCAACTTCACATCGGCTTTCAAACCTGCAACACCCCACAGGCCACAGACACAGGCGTACGTGGAAGACTGAATCGATGAATGTTATAATTAATCGAAGAAACAAGGAAGAGTAGCGAGAGCGTTACTTTGAAGCCAGAAGGGAGAGTAGTGGAGAGCATAGTGCTTGGGATCCTGAAGCTTCAAGAATGGCCTCCTCTTCTCTCGGTGGTAAATTGCCAGGGCAGCCTTGATGAGGTCGGCGACGGTATCGTCAGGAGATATGAGCACCTGCACCGGACCTAGGCTGTTCTCGATGGTTACGTTCATCAGGACCTTGGTGAGTCGGAGGGAATCGGTGGCGAGGGAGGACGGCGCCGGAAGGGGGAGAATGAGAGAGATGCCGGCAGATAAGGGAGCGCAGGGAGGGTTGCCGGAGACTTTACGACGGTGACGTGGAAATGGAAAAGACATGTTGAGAAGGATGAATATTTTTGTGTTAGCGAGAGAATGAGTTGGTATGTTATGGTGCCGGCAACGCGTTTCTGAGAAGTGGCGCTCGGAGTTATGCAAGAGAGGGGGTGGAGGATTCCCCTCTTAAAAGTTACATAGCAGAGGAGAGGAAGCTTCTTGGAAGGTGGGTGAAGGCTTCCTGGTGCTAAGTGGGCTCTCACTTGAAACTATGAAACAAATTACGTTCCCACATCGTCAGAGCTCTCACAATTATTTGCATCTTAATGTCGTACGATCCTCATGGGACGGCAGAAATACGTTCTTTTTTTTTTTTTAAGAAAATCATTTATATAATAAAATACTCCCCATACTTATATATAAAATATTTTTTAAAAGTTTATTTTATCTATAAATATAAAAGGCGGCAATGATTTTTTTAAATAATTAAATAATTTTATTCTCATTTTAAAAAATAAAATAAATTATTAATTGTATATTTTTTTTACTATCATCATGATATTAACTATGATATTATGAGGGGTAAAAAAGGAAAATTATTATATTTTTATTTGAATTTAATTAAATAACAAATTTTTATTAGTATGCAAAATTTGGTTCAAAATACTTTATATACAGAGACAGAGAGAGTATGAGATAACATTATTGTGAATGGATTTCAATCAATCAAATATAAAATACAACAACAACAACAGGTCTCATTTCACTAAGTGAGGTCAATTATATAAATTATATAATATCATTGTACATTTGTTTCATTAACTTTGTTTACAAATTATGACTTATGATCATTATTATTTATTTTTTAAAATTCCTGTCGCGCATGAAAAAGGTTTCTAGTTTTCTGAAATTTTTAAAATTGGTTAGTTATAGAAGTGATCGATCCTTTATCAATATTTAATTAAAATAAATATTAATATTTTATAAAAGTCATTGACATTTCAGACTTGTTACAGTTTATCACTGTATGCGTGCGCCTTATATACAAATATGAGTTCAATTATCTGAGATGTATAAATTTTTGTAAAGTTGGCTTTTAAAAAAATAAAAAGAATATTTTATATTTTCTGAAAAATATAATCCTAAACCCCCTAAAGAAAATTTTACTGAAAATTCATATGTTTCAATTTTAGAAAATTTGAACCTACATCAGATATAAGCCAAGTGTGAATTCACCGAATTGTCCCGTTTGAAATTTGTTTACTTGGATGTCATTCAAATGACGTGAGGAGTGCTCTGGAGGGCCCAAATCCTTAACATAAGTTGGTGTAACCCAATCTTAGGCCCAGAAAGATTATGCGCGGGTCTGTCCATCAGGCGGTATATTAATAATAAAGAAAATAATTTTTTTAATTTAAGTGTGATAATAGGATATCAAGTGATAGTAAGGCAAGGAAAATATACTTATAGAAATTATTAATTAAAATATCTTAATTAATAATATTTTTAAAAGTTTAATAAATGATAAAACACAAGTTATAATGTAACACATATATCATCCCATCTAATGAAATAAAATTTATTTTGTTGTCCGTTGCCAACATGTTTTTGTTCCCATGAATATAAATGCGTTTACAGAGAAAATGAATAGTAAGATGTTTCCAATTACTGAGGACTTGGGTTGTACGTGTATTGGAGAAATACAAGAAGGAAGGAGACTCACATCAACAGGCTTTTCAATGTGGAATGCTTGTAACATAATACAATATTAAATTTTTTATTATATATATTATTCTACATAATTAGAATGGTTATAACTATGTTGGTTATAACTATTTTATTTTTTATTATTATTTTATTTTTTGATAGATTTTTATTTTATTATGATAAATCTTAATAGATCTTTTTCCCTTGTATAGATATGCTCATATTGAACTTTATAAATTAAGTCACTATTTTTACAAATTGTATTATAGTGTCAAAGCATGTGAACTTTTTTTATCATTGTTTTCCTCTTTGTTTTATTTCGTGTTTTTTGAAACCTTATGGCTTTTAGATCCATAGTTTGACCTTCCATTATTACAACTATTCTAGATGCTTCTGTATTTGATGATGGAACTACTTAATCCTCATTTTCTCCAACCTCTTTGTCCTTCACTCAAGATCAATACAATAGGCTTTTTGCTCTTGTGCAGGCCCCTACACCTATTGTTTCACAAATTCCTTTGGCATAAGTTAATTTGTGACTGCTTATCCTTCTTTCAAATACTTTGTTCTCTTTGTTTTTGCTTCCTTTGAGCCTAAGAAATATAATTAGGTAGTGAAATAACCTAAATGAAGGAAAGCTATGCAATCTAAAATTTATGCCCTTGAGCAAAATAATATGTGAATTCTAACTAAATTCCCTATAGGAAAACATTCCTTTAGTTGCCAATGGGTGTTTAAAAAAAGTTTAAGGCTTATAGTTCTCTTAACAGGTATAAAGTCTGTTTGGTCGCTAAAGGTTATACACAAATTGAGAAGATCAGCTACTTTAATTCTTTTTTATCTATAACTAAACTAACCACAATTCATTTAGTTTTAGCATTAACAGCTGCCAACTCTTGGCTCTTGGAGTAGTTAAATGTCAATAACACCTTCCTTTATGGTGACTTGGGTAAAGAGGTCTATATGGCTCTTCCTCTTGATTTTAATTCTCCATTACCCAATGCTATTTGCAAATTTCATAAGTCTCTTTATGGTTTAAAGCAAGTCATCCACCAATAGTTTGCTAAACTAACATTTGCTCTTACTTTTTATGGTTATCTCCAGTCTAAAGCTAAGTATTATTTATTTATCAAAAAGACTTATTCTTCATTTACAGCGTTATTGGTTTATGTTGACAACATTATCTTGGCTATCAATGATTCTATGAAAATTGTTAATATTAAAATTTTCATTGATTAGTCTATTAGAATGAAGGATTTAGGTTAACTTCGCTATTTTTTTAGTCTGGAAATAGCTTGAACATCCTTTGGTATATATGTTTGCCAATGAAAATTTACTTTAGACATTTTTTTGATTATGGTTATTTTGCTTGCAAATCAGCCTCTACCCTTATAGATAGGTTTGCCAAACTCTCTAAAGATGATAGTACTTCTATTAATGATCCATTGACTTATCAATGTCTCATTGATTGTCTCTTATATTTGACAATCACTCGCCTCAAAATTGTTTTTGTTGGCCAACAATTGTCTCAGTTTATGTTTGATCTGTATAGTACTCATTATCAAGCTACTTATTGTGTTATTCATTATCTTAAGTTCTCTCTAGGTAATGGCTCATTTTTCTCTCCAGCTACTCATTGTGTTCTTCACAATAAGCTTTTAAACATAAAAGTTCACTATTCATGTTAATTATCTGTACTTCCTTAATCATTAGCAATCTCAAAGTACAAGTATTCATTAATTTCAAAGAAAGCTCAAAAGGTACATCCCAACAATTTAAAATAAGAGCTTCTAAAAATTTAAAGCATCTAACAAAATCCACATGACTCTTATCAATAAGAGTCAAATCTTTAATAAGAAAGTCATGTGGAATAAGTATTAAGATCTCCTCATCAAGCTTAACATCAAAATCACAAAAATTAGGCTTCACAGTTGGAATCTCTTCTTGACATCCACTACTCTTCCATAAATTAGTTTCAAGTTCATTATCGTCTTCTACATTATATATATTCTCATGCAATTCCCTATCCTTAGCTTTCTTACAATAATTTTCATCAAAGATCAATGGGAAAATATGATGGCAATCATTCTGTTGCTTTATCTTTTCAATATCTTCTAACATTTGGCTCACACAGACTCTAATATTTTTAGCACTTGACTCAACACTAGTGATCAAGTCCTTTTGTAAATTTGAAAGTTTCCTTGATGAATCCACAAGGTCCTCAAATAATCTTTCTAAGCAAGACTCCTCCCAATACTCTCAGGCAATTTCCTCAACATGTAGACAAGAGTAAAAAGGTGATGTCATTTTATTTGAATGATAATCTAAATGAAGATTCCAAGACTCATATTTTTCTAGACTTCAACTAGGACTAAAAGAATTATCAAAATAAGTTTTGCTTTTAGTGAAATCATCCTCATATAGTTAGAGGATCTGTCAAAGTGACAATGCTCACAAGAATGACTTTGTACTCAATAAACATAAGTGGAGCCATAATATTGAGAAGAATTAATACATGGAGTATAACTAGCATTCAAATGCATATTGTATTACCTCCTTTTATTTAAACATCTCTTACAAGCAATCAATTCATCTTGTATTGAAGATAAGGAATTCATTTCTTTCTTAATATTAAAGCCACTTGAAATCCATTTTTTAAACTTTTTTTCTTTTTTTTTTCAAACGCAGAGAATACTATCACAAATCAAAAGAGAAATAAGAACACAAATAAACAACTTGAACATGATATTAACAAGACCTAAACTTAAGCTACTATTGCTCTATCAATTCAAACTAAGAAAATCAAAGCAAACTAAACAAAACAACAACTCAGAAGAAAAAGAAAAGAAATCATAATTGTGGCTAATGACAAATCAAAGTCGATCCTACAGAGAATTAAATAAATTAACAAATAAGCATTAAATTCTTAATCTCATTAAAGTTTAGCAAGCAACTTATAGTGATGAATAATTTAAATTAAAAATAAAAAATGTAAATGAGCAACTAAGATTTTGAAACACTCTAAAGTCAAAAAATGACTAAGAAAGCATCCTAGAATTCTAATCCTTCATTTACTCCATTGTACTCAACTTAATAATTAAATTTATTTTAATTTCAATTTTAAGGGTTAGGACACTAAAATTAATCTTGAATATCTTTCGATTATCTAACATCATACTTAATTCTAACCCAAAAATTTCTTGCCAAAATTAGATTAAGAGCATTAAGTTTAAATCCCTTCTAACCACTTAGATCTTTTAGGTACATTCCTATTTTAAAGGTAAGTTAACTATAATTAATCTTGAGCATTCAATTTCAATAGTCCAAACAAAAATTCTTTTTTCAAGTTTATTATATTTCTCCAAATCATCACTTAATAGTGGCCAATCATCAAGCAACACAAATAAAAACTAAAATTAAAACATAAAACATCTATTTATCATAAAGTAATCGATAAATCAAGATACAACTGAAGCAAATGAGTTTATAGGACTCTACAGTATTAAGGTTTAGCCATATATAGCTAAATACACTCTTAAAATAATAGAATAATGAGACAAAATCAGATACATATGAGAAAGAAAGAGAAAAGTGAAGAAAAACTTAACAAAAACGTAGAGGGTAATGAGTTATCGTGTTCCCAAGTTTCAAAATCGCCTCTAGACCTTCAAAGAACAAAAAAAATGAAGCCTTTCTCAAAAAATCTTAGTTTCTCTCTTTTATCAGACAAAAAAACTGAAACTATGCATTTTAGTGTGAAATCCGTTGTAGCGAGCTCTATTTCTAATTCAAAATTTGTCTTATAATATTGATCTACTATAGCTGGTGATCACTAAAATCTAATTTCCTCATAAGAATTATTATATTTTTCTTCCTCCATATCTTCCAAGCTTTTACAAAGGTTCTTAAAATTAAAATGCATCAAATAAACAAAAAAAATTACTATAAAATAAAAAAATAAAATATTTACAAGACAAGTTAACTAACATCAAAACAAACACTAAACACAAAAATAATTAATAAAAAATAACTAGATGACTCTCCAATGAAGTAATAAAACTTCTCAAAATATATAAAAATATAGAGAGTCATTAACTCTGATGTCAAATTGAAAGATTTCTTTGAGTTTAATTAGGCCAATTATATTGATTCTCACTGCTCCATTACTAACTTTTGTGTTTTTCTTAACAAAACTTTAGTTTTGTGGCGCTAAAAAAAACAATCCACTGTCTCTCGTTCCTCTTCCAAGATTGAATAAAGAGCTCTTGATTTTGTGACTTGTGAGTTACAATGATTGCTATTTTTGTTACAAGACATTTATATCTCTCATCTTTCTCCTGCATTGGTCTTCTGTGGTAATCAATTTTCTCTTCATACTATCTCTAATCCTACATTTTATGAGTGTACTAAGCATGTTGAACTAGATTATCATCTTGTTTGTGATAAGCTTCAAGCTGGCATCATTTATTTTCTTCTTATTCGCTCTAAGGACAAATTGCTGGCACCTATACCAAACCTCTTAGAGCTACTCCCATTAATAATCTCTCGTCTAAGTTGAGAATGTGAGACATATATTTTTCAACTTGTAAGGGGTAATATAGGACAATATTAAATTTTTGATTGTATATATTACTTTGTATAATTACGATTGTTATAACTAATTTGGTTATAACTATTTTATTTTTTTTATTATTTTATTTTTTGATATATTTTTATTCCATTCTCTTATAGATTATTTTTTCTTGTATAAATATATCTCATATTGAAATTAATAAAAAAATTCACTATTTTCACAAAATTATATTAAATTGATAAATGTCATTGACATTCTTTAAATCGCACCTTGTGCAGTGCAATAATTAAAGTTTACTATTACAAATTAACCGTTGGAACTACCTTTCCCATCATTTAAAAAATAATAATTCTGCTATGAATATTATAATTATTGTGGATGCCCATAATATCCAATTTTCCATATTCATCCTATATTGAATGACATTATACCCATAATCCCTTAATTGAAATGTTTCTAGTTTTTATTTTATATCAATTGTACAACTATATTGTCTCATTCCCTTCTTTTATGTACTTGTAATTCTTGAGGTTAGTCTCTAATATTAGAGTATTAGAGTCGAAATAGAGGTGATGTATATATACTCGTGACAACCTAAATGAATAAAAGTCACTACTCCTTTACTCTTCAATTCTCTCTTGTTTTCTTCACCCCCATTATTCTAATGTTCTTTCATCTTGTTATCTTCTCTCATCTCAATCTCCTATCCCTTCCAGTTTCATAACACTTGGATTTTTTTTTTTTAGAATGAGTTAAACTTACTTAGATTTTGTGGACGAAGTATTGTTGCTTAATGAAAAGAAAACCACATATAAACACAAATGCAAATACAATTACATAAACAAGATCCATGCTTGCAAGAAGGCCTCGATTTTACAATTAAATTTCTTGTAATATATAATACAATTTTTTTTGAGCAAAATATATAATACAATTGAAAATTGAAGATGTAGGGAATTTGAAGAGCTTCTAAGCTTAAATTTTTCCTATTACTTTTAATACTAACAATTGTTTAACTGCTGAAACAACTCCTATGTTTAGGATGGGATTTAACAGAGCCATCCTAAACAAGTTATTTTAAATTTCCGTCAGCTTTAGCAATTACTTTTGTTAGATATTTTTTGGCCAATCGAGTACTTTATTACATTCTCCAACTCCATAATATATACTCTCTCCGTTAAAAAATATAAGGCATTTTTTAAAAGATTAGATGTTAAAAAATAAAAAATATTTTTAATATTTTAAGGTGTAATCATTATTTAAAAAAATGCTCCTATTAAATAAATTACTTTATATTTATTTTAGGTGAAGCACCTTCTTAAATAAGAGTAAATATAGAAGTAACTATTTTATTGAGATGAGATTCAATTAAAAATACTTTACATTTTTTAATAAAAAGAGTATATATATATAGCTATATTAATGAATAATTCATTTATGACACATATTTTACTGAATAATTTGGAATTAACTAAAAGAAAGGAAAATGGAGGCTTACATGCCAGAAAGCATTAAAACTAATTAAGTGTTCCAACATTTACAACAGAGTTGCTAAAAACCTTTATTAAAAAAAAAAAAAGAGCTGCTAAAAACAAATCACATTTCGAGGTTTGCTATCCAAATCGATCATGGCATCTTCCTAGCTTTTTTAACTCGGTGACACTGGCCATGACTTATACACCCTGTTTTTTAATCATCATAACGAGTTTGCAGAATAATTTTGACTTCAAATATGGGGAAAGAAACGATTTTTACGGAATTAAGCCCAACTTTTCTCACATCTGGCGGGCTGTGGGCGTCAGCAAGACACTTTTTTATGGTATGACAGGATTAATTATAAAATTGAAAATTACAATATTCACCGAAAAATAAAAATTATAATTGTTAAAACAAAAGTCCAGCTACAAGTCAACCCGAAAAGGCTTAGCAATAAAAACTCTTACGCAGTTAAGATTTTTTTTTTTTTCATACTTATAATTTCCTTACACTATATCAACATAAGAGATGTAACAAATTGCATCTTTTCCTCAAGCCTATACAATAGATGAAAAAATGTGAGTGTATTTGTCTTATAAAAGGTCCTTACAAACACTAACTTAAATGGGAGGAAATCCTTCCCAATGCATGCTAATATTTTGACAATTTAAGGAATTCAAACCATCCAATATTATAGGAACTGTCAAAGTCAGACTGGTGAGAAATATCGGCATGAAATCAGAGGATGATGGTTTAGTCTAGAAATGTCCATAGTTGGAGTGAATGTTAAAACATTAAAATGGAGATCATGTGAGATGGGATGGTGCGGGCGCATGAAAGGCAAGGCAAGGGGCCAAAAAGACGGTGACAAATCTCCGAAAGGAAAATCAGAGACCACCAAACCAGACAGCGATCCAAATGAAATTAATTAGCATTCATTGATGCCCACTGCATGGTTTTACAAAACGACATATTTACGTTATGGGAACCACTCGAGATCATTTGTATTGAAGAAATACTTGTACGGTGTTCAATTGTAACACGTCTACGCACATGATATTTCATACGCCCGCTTATGTCTCTTGCCTTCTCGAAGTCTTGTTACTTTGCATGCCACAAGGCAATCCCTCGTGTATACTAAAAATTATTGATATATTAATGATCTTAATGATAGCAAAAATCTTCCCTTTTCCAAGTGCGCACTCCGGTTTATTTATTTACCGACAAGATGGTGTCATAAATTAAAACCAAAACTCTCCAAATGCTTCTCAATTGGTCGTCAATTCCATTGCCCAACAATCTGTCTTCAGTATCTTCGCGTTTCGCTCATATCCAAACTGGGTCCTAAAATAGAAAAATAGTTTAATATCAGTCAAGGGTATGCCCCTAATTACTGGAATTCATGTGATTACCTTCGTTGACCAGGAAAACGAAGAATGAATGAATGCAGGATGGCATTTGTGGTCAAAAGAAGCACGTTATATCATTTGAAAGCGACGGTGAAAACGTTGAAACCAAGTCAAAAAGAGATGGCATATATAGATAGATATATGCAAAGAAACAAACAAGCAAGACCCACATTGTAATTTTTACTCTGCCACTTTTTCATGTATATCGGATCAGCCTTCGTTTAAAGCCGCTTTTGCCAAAGCAGCCAGCATGGCCATCAACAGTCACCGATCAATATTGCTAGCTGCACTGATCTGCAATGGATGATTATTGCTTTTGGCATAATAGAGGTCAGGACACTCGATGCATTTTGAAGTCCGCATGCAAATCAGTTCGCACCATCCTGTGTGTCACACACTAACACTGTTTCAAATCCCTCACAGTCACAGTCACAGATACGACATCCACAAAGCCAAAGGTGACAACTTTTTCTTCCAATGGGGATATTTAGTCCACTTACCAAATCATTTGCCCCAATCACATCATCATCGCCGCACACATCACTCATCACTGTGGGGGCTCCGCACTCTTGACCTCAATATCATCTCACTCCTCACCCTTCTCACTCTCATCATTTCTCTCCCCGCATTTGCACATACGTATCCATACAAGTCTCTGCTATTAATTCGGCTGCTGTAAATATGGATACGTACTTTGTAATGTGTCTCACAATGGTCAGTTGGAAATTGGAACAAGGAAAAATCTGCAGAAACATTATGTGTGTGTGCATAATACGAATGGCTATGATGAATAAACAATGAGTAGGAGCACAGTTTTGGCATTATAATACGCTCATAATGAGGTGATATATGGAGGGATATGAGTCAAATGAAAGATATTCAAGTAGATATGATAGATTCCAGAGGTGCATAAAATTGAATAATCTAGGGATCAGATGAGTGATAACACATAGCAGGCAACAGCGTGAGTGGAGTAAATGATTAAAAGAGGTGATGTTGCGAAGCTAAAGGTGCTTACTCGCTTAATTATGGTTGCTAAGTCATGCTTCTGATCTCGTCAAGCTGGTCTTCCATTGGACTCTCCACGAAACGACCCCGATGGCCCTTTCCATGACAACGACGTCCATCACATCTCTTGCTCAATATTAACAAGCATCCAAAATATGCCTTCATCCTTAACGTCCTTTAATTCTTTTCTGTTTAGGATACCCTTCAACTCCACTTCCTCTCAACTTTTCCAATCACCACCGCTCTCTTTTCAACCTCTGGCTTTCCTATTTTTGCGGCTCTCCCATGTTTAAGCGTTGCGAAATTGAATAAAATAAATAAACATCAGCTATAGCTAAGAGCAATATTTCTAAACTTGTTTACCAACTTCATAGTAATACCATTTATTGGATACCCAAATTGATTTTATGAGTCAAATAGTGAGTTATCCATGATTAACTCAGAGGTCATTTATATTTGTGATTTACATATTCACCCCTTCAATTGTTGGCCAAACAGGATTAAGTCAATTAACCACGGAGCCATATGATGAAGGAGAATAGCTGATCTAATAGCTTTCATCCCTCCAAAACCAACATCATTGTCCGGCTTTGCCATCAAGTGGCCAACGTCATCTCCATATCAACTAATTACCCCCTCCCTTCCACACCTACTTCCTATTTTGTTTCAAAATAATTTTTGTTGTTCTAGAAATCCAAAACTTTGGTTAACTTTTTTCCTGTACTAGCCCTATCTCCTCATTTAACAACTTACATATGTAGTAATATTTTGTATTAATATAAAATTTCAAGTTAGAAATTCAGAATCACAAGGCCGGGAAAAAAATCAGTAGTGGATTAGACTCGAGAGTACTAAGCAAGCAGGCACAAAGTGGGGCATGATTGATAAATTGCTTACCCGTTGGAGTTGGAGGTAATCAGGGCGAGTGAGAGTAGAAATTGGATATAAAAGGGGCGTTAGGCGTTTGAAAATTCCCGCAAATAATTGTGAACCAGGAACGCGCATCACAGCTTCCAGCCAGCGAGCCGCCCCTCTTCTCTTCCACTAGACTCGTCTCCCCTTCTCCTCCATCCACCCAAATTCAATTTTGTCTCATCGCCTCCGATAATCTCTCCGAGCCATTGCTTTTGTTTCCCGTCGACATGCTGCCTTACCACTCTTTGCAGGAAGCCGAGGCGGCTCTCCGCCGCAACCTCACCTTGTCCGAGACTCTCTGGTTCAATTACTCTGCCCGCAAGTCCGATTACTTTCTTTATTGTCATAACATACTCTTCCTCTTCCTCATTTTCTCCGTCGTCCCTCTCCCTCTCTTCTTCCTGGAGATCAAGCGCTTAGCCGGCTTCGACAAATACAAGATTCAACCCAAGGTTCGTCTGTCCTTGGATGAAATGCTTAGGTGCTACAAGGATGTCATGCGCATGTTCCTTCTCGTGGTTGGACCTCTGCAACTCGTCTCATATCCCTCCATCAAGGTATGTTTTGTGGCAAATTGCTAAATTGCTCGACTGCGGTTGATTCAGCTTAAAATCTTCATGAATCCGATTCTTTGCGTATGTATCGATTCCCAATTTCTTTTGCACATATCGGATTTAGAAGATCTCTGTTACCAACCCAAAATGTAGTATGATGTATCTCCAATCATATCCGGATGATAATCTGTCCAGCATTTTATTTCAATGCAATTAGTTATATAAGTTCAGAGCCTATTTGAATTCCTCCCAAGTTTTAGAGAAAGCCGGCGGAATCCGATATCCGGATCTTGGACATGGCTTACTTCAATTAGATATCACATTATGGAATGACTAACGGTTTTGAACTGAACAACCTACTTCGATTTGTTATCAGATGATTAGAATTCGGACAGGGCTGCCATTGCCATCTGGATGGGAGATTCTTTCACAGCTGGCGGTGTATTTTATGATAGAGGACTATACCAATTACTGGATCCACAGGTTTCTGCATGGTAAATGGGGATACGAGAAGATTCATCGAGTCCACCATGAATACACAGCTCCCATTGGATTTGCGGCACCCTACGCTCATTGGGCGGAGATATTGATCCTTGGAATTCCATCTTTTCTGGGGCCAGCTATTGTTCCTGGGCACATGATTACATTCTGGTTGTGGATAGCATTACGGCAGATTGAAGCCATTGACACTCACAGCGGGTAAGGCCCAATATTCCGCATCTTTCTCACTATTTGCTCTGCTCGTTTTTCCCCAAAATATGCCGACCTTAGAGTTTCTTTCATCCCTTGCCATTCCTAAATAAAGTTCTATTTAAAGCATTAACACCCTCCCCCCCCCCCCAACAAAAAAAAAAAAAAAAACGAGAAGAAGAAAAACAGAAAACACCCACACAGAGAGAGAGAGAGAGAGAGAGAGAGAGAGTCTGTATATGGCACTGGTGGCACTGGCACTTTGGACGGGAGAAATCTCCAAATGATAGTTGCTTCAGTCTTTTTTCCCCCTGGTATCGTAATTTTGTAATTTTTTCTTCAGCAAAAATTAGAAATGCTGGAGGAATTTATAATTTTTTAACATTAAAAGTTAATATACAAATTTACACTTCTAAAATGGTTGACTAGTGTTGTTTTGCTGGAGGAATTTATAATTTTTTACCATTGAAAGTCAATATACAAATTTACACTTCTAAAATGGTTGACTAGTGTTGTTTCGCTGGAAACCTGTGGATTCTGGCATTTGCTGGAAACCTGCACGTTGTTATTAAAACAGTGCAAAAAAATCCTCTTTTAAAATTTGATGGATCTCATCTCCTGAAGTTCAGCGGTCCTAGCTAGTTCTAAATTCTACATATTAGGTTTAAAAAAACAAAAATTATTTTTCCTACCGCTTATAAGATGTCTTTTAGCACCACCGTGATTTTATTGTTCGAGTGCTATTTCCAATTTTGCCGATTTTGTCACATGTATGGTGTGTTTTAGTTCCACACCCTAAAGAGGAGTTAATAGTGGTCCTCAACATTGTTTTGGCAAAGATGCGATTGCAATCACAGCACCAGGACAATTTTCTTTTTGAACTTCTGTCTCCGTATTGCAATTCCAGTAAGAGTGTTATGGAAGAATTATATCATCTGACATCATCTTCATTTTCTGTTAATAATTATTTCCTTTGGAGACTGCAGTTTATCAGGTTTTGAGGTTATTTGAAAGTAGGCTTTTTGCGAGATATTAGTGTAATCTTTCTTCCACTGCGCATGATAATTTTTATCAGCTAGAGAAATGAAGTTTTCTGGGGATCATCATCTGAACAAAATAAAATAGATAAATGCGAAGCTTAGTTGTAATTCTCTTGGAATAATGAAGTCCTTGCAATTCAGCCAATAGCTGGATAGCTAAATTTTAATGCAATAAATGGCGAGTTTTGCTGCAATGGAAAGGAATTTGGTGGATAAACATTTGTTTGTAACTGTTTTCTCTACTCATCCGAAGGAATTTATGAGTTATGACTTCTTCTTTGCCTCAAGAGCAGCATACCTTCTCATCCGCAGATATTCTTCCTACTTTTAGGTCCCTATGCTTCTTTAATTTCTCAGTCGCTGACCTTTTTATATTGTTTTTCTCGTCAGGTATGACTTCCCCTGGAGTCTTACAAAGTACATTCCATTTTATGGTGGCGCAGAGTATCACGATTACCATCATTACGTTGGAGGACATTGCCAAAGCAATTTCGCTTCAGTTTTCACGTACTGTGATTACATCTATGGAACTGACAAGGTTGGAACACGAATCGGGAATTCTTCTGCGATATAAATAACTTCATAGTCTTTCAAGACGTTAAGTCATGCTGAGATAATTCTTTTGTTGTCACAGGGTTATAGGCATCAGAAGAAAATCCTTCAGAAGGTAAATATTTGCATCTTAGTCAATTTTATAAAAATCAGTCGCTTTCGTCCCAGTCAAGATTATTGTGCAGTAGATACTTTGATCAAAGATTATACTAGAAAGTAGCGACATTCTGCGGCAATTGTCATTTTTCTTTCCCTTAACCCTGCTTTTGGCAATGTGCTCTAGTTGAAGGAGGAGTGGACGAATGGCGTTGAACACAATGGAGGGGGGTCGTACAATAACCAAAATGACAAGTCTGACTGACCGTGGGACGGCATCAGCAGCTGAGGTGGTGCTTTCGAATCTTTGATTTGGTGAGGGACATATGTGCCAGTGGAAAAATAGATGTCTTCAGTAGCTTCAGATGGTTGAGATTAGAATGGCGCTTCTGTTGTCTTTGACGGGGGTAGTAGAAATCGTGGTTTCGTTTGAGTAATAGGGAGGAATTTCTTCTGTAGTCAAGATATAGAATTCCAACTGTTTTCTTTTCTTCCTTCTGTTTTAGGTGGTTAGATCACCATTTTACATATGAACGGGAAGTGATTTAGGTGATTATGATGTACGTTTGTGTTTGCGGTTTCAAGCAAGGATGGGTAATGTAATGCAAGTTGTGGCGGGACATGGCGATCCAACGGGGGTTACCATAGGCTTCCACGATGTTTTGGGGAAGTCGAGTCATGGTTAATAGTGGTTGGAGGTGACCGGTGAAAGGACTCTGACCTATAATGCAGCGATGAGAGCTCTAAGTCAAACTTCCCTTTGTAGTTACATGAACTTGGAGTTATTATTGACGAGAACAATCTACATATGATTTGATGATTTATCATCTACATTTTTTTGCCGTTTACTTGTCCAGAAATTATTCTCATATCATAAAACCCATGTAAATAAAGGACAATGATAGAGAATTGCATGTTAAATTTTAGAATATAAATTATAAATTTATCATAATAAAATTATAAAATTAAAATATTAAGTTATAAATTTTTAAAATTTGACATTTAAAATTTAATTTAAATTAATCAATTCTTTTGAGATTTATTTATCATTATCTTTGTAAATAATTGTCCATGTCGTTGAAAGCTCAACAAAAGAAAAGCATATAAGATATTTTTATAATACGAATGAAAGAAAGCACCAAGTGCCCGTCTAGCTCAGTCGGTAGAGCGCAAGGCTCTTAACCTTGTGGTCGTGGGTTCGAGCCCCACGGTGGGCGATTTCTTGTTTTTTTAACTTTGTGCTTGATCTTGTAATAATTGAAAAGTATATTATGAGAAAGCAACTGAGGCTATTGTATTGGGAAGCCCAAAAGGGAGTGAAAGGGCCAGGAAGGCAGTGGGGATGGGGAAAGCCGAAAATGGATTCAGAAAACCTGGGGCAGGGAGGCAGCCCATAGGAGACGTGATCGATTGGGGCCGCCAATCATGTGCCTCGTCTCTCCAGATGTGGAAGCTAATCTCCTTCCGTTCTTTTTCAAGGCCTCGCCGTACACGTGGTCATCATCCCCCTCCCCTTCCCTTTCTCTCATTGCCTTCTCGCTATCCTTCCTCTGTTTTCCTTCCGCTCGTTGCTTCCTCCTTCCTTCCTTCCTTTACCCTTCCAAAATAGAATCGCGCGTCACGTGCGAATGTGTGTGATACGCCTCAAGGAGCGATGGAATATCTACCAAGGTATAAAACTACTCAAAAAATTATTCTTAACTTTTGATATCTTTAAATTAACACTAATATATAGGTATTTTTTAACTTCATTAAAGAGATCAATATTTCTCAATCTATTAAATTTTATTTTTATAACTTAATTGTCAAGGTTGGGCTAGTTTAACAAATTGAAAAATGTTGGTATAGTTTATAAAGTTAATAAATATTTATAATCTATTGTTGATTTAATAATACTATAAGTTCATGGAGAGAAGTTTTTGAGAATTTTTATACATTAACCCTGTATGTTATCATTTTCCTTTTCAACTACTTGAAAAATTAAATATACAGTGATATGAAATAAGTATACCTGTATTTGCATGTAATATATCCCCCCCGCACACACCCCCCAGTGTTTCGCTGCGTGTCACCCACCTTGGCTAACTCGTTCTCTTCTCATCCTCTATGCATAAAGATATGATTAGGATGTACAGTTTTCTATTCATGACTCAATGATTCCCCTTGATTACATATATAGACTTCATTGACTCGTGATAATTTTTTAGTATTTACAATCTTTGATACATTCATAATGATAGCGATTCAAAATTTCCGTTAAGATGGGGGAAAAACAAAAGTCTTTATAATGTCCCTAATGCATCCGAGCGGCTCAAATATCATTTCCCCATCGTATCGGATTCTTCACTTCTCAACTGCATGCGCCGTGCCGTATAGATTTTTAACTTCAACTAACCATATAAATAACCTGATTTACTAAGGATTGAAGATAATAAATTAAGTATAATAGAAGGAACTAGTTCCTTATGATATAATAAATTAATATTTAAATTTTTATTGAAAAATGTACTCGTATGTAATACCCGATTGTGTTTTAAATATGATTATTTTTAATAAGAATATAAATAGCCACAAGCAATAAAAAATAACTAAATTCGAAACGATTTAATTTGTCATGCAACACCACTTGCGACTCCCAAGTTACAGCCCGTCCATTTCTATTTGTATATTTGAAAGGGGAAAAAGAGAAAAAGGCGTAAATAACCGGTGACAAACTCGGGAAGCGACATGGTCTCTGGAGGTATGTAATAACAAACATTCATATAAATCAATCAAGTTTTTTTTTTTTTTTTGCAAGAAATGTAGTAATCTGAAAAGAATTTGGGTTGACCTCCTGCACCGTTTGGTACGCAAGAATTATGCGTGTCAAAGCGAGGAAAAGATATAAGTACAAGAGCGTGATGGAAGGACAGGCTTGCTTCAAAGCTTGAATGCTTAGGTTAGAAAATTACAGGTGAAAGAGCTAGCACGTGCTTGGAATATCGTTTGAAGAAAAAGTGAAAAACGTGTCTGCGTGAGGAAATTAATATCTACGTGAAGTGTACGCTGTGTTGTTGAAGATGGTTTTAGAGCAGTGAGTGAAAGCGGATGTTGAGGTGTCTGATATGTTGCAGTGCATTAGAGAGATCATGTTCTAGAGTTATGTGCAAAGGTACAGGTGAGTCCTTCCCTAGTTAAAGATCAACTAGATGGTTATATATATTGCTGTGGATTAAAAGGTTGTGATGCTGAGAATTCCTACCTCGGACAATTCAAATGCGAGACGTACCCTTGCCCTGGTTAGACACACCCAGAAAGACCAAAACAAAGAAACACACACATGCGTGTGTCAACTGTCAAGTGTCGACGAAACAGAGGTATCTTCGTCAACCTTGAAAACAACACGAACTTGAAGCAGAGTTTAGGAATCGGAATCAAATTATTAGATAGTTGAATTTGCTATTAAAATGACCAATTAACAGCAGAGGGATAGATTTCGTCCTTCTGTACACTTTTTTAAAAAGAAAATGGTAACAGGGTAAGCACAATAATGGGCAACATAGTTGTTGGTTGTGGTCATGGATTGGGTAAATAGTTGAACAGAAAGGTAGTTGACAATGGTATTGGTTGGCCTCGAAACCAGTATTTAGTATGGTGGGTTCTATGGTCTCCGAGGAAGCGGAACCCATTTGCCACTTCAATTAATGCATGGACCTATATGTGCTTAATTCGAAGCTCCTTTTGTTGTTTCCCACCATTACATAACAAAATATTCATAGCGGCAAAATATTCAAAATAATGAAAAGGAAATAACAATATATATAATTTTTGTATGTTACAGGAAAATTTTAAGCATCATTATCCATTTATCCTACACTCTGATAAGAACCTGCCGTCTTTAAAACTGAATTATACTAAACTAATTTAAATTTTGAGTTATGTGCAAATAATTTTTATGACATTTAATACTTGATAAATCTCCTAAACTTTTCATTAAATTTGCTTGGATATTAGTTCTTATTTTATTAATAGAGTATAATTTGTTTTGATTTGTGTATAACTCTTGTGTATGAACTTAATTTTATTATGCTACAATATTCTATAAGAAAAAAAAAATTGGACAGATGAATGGTAAGTAAGTGATTTGCGTAAGTGTGAAAATTTAAGAATATTCAATGTTAAGTTTTAAAAGACAAGAAATTATTCACATGCGAATCAAATTATAGAAAGGTTATAGACATGTATGAGTTAGCATGTATTTAACTTGCTTGTAGTGGGTGACATCGTGGCTATGGAAGGTGTTATAAACGACGATGAACATTATAGTTAAGTTGAAGCAAGAGTTAGGATCAAAGCCAATCTTAATACATTTTGCGCGAGACAGTTCTGTTTTAAAATCTTATCCAAAGTTTATATAAATTATTTTGCCGTCGTGATGATCATATACAATATCCTATCCGCAATGGCTAAATTTTAGAGGGACAATCGCAATGAGGATCTTTTAGAATAATTGTTTTGAAAAAAAAGATTAAAAGATTCTAATTCTAGATGCAAGACCTAGAGATTAAAATATAAATAATTAAAACTGAGAGTGAAGTGATAAGTACTTTTTTTTTTAGAGAAAAAAGTCAAACCATAATCGCTCGCCATTAGAAACCCTGCCTTTGGTGACCAATTGATTTGGTAATCGGTAAAGGTAGTCGGGAGTTTGAATCCATGACTTTTTTTAGTTACTTGAAAAGCTGTGATCACCAAATCATCAAACACACTTAATCATAATAGGCAAATCTATATATATATATATATATATATTACAGTAACCCAAATTTTTAAATCACTTTTATATTATAATATAATGATAACTTATTAATTTTTAAATGATATTTATTATTTTATTAGTTTTGACAATACAATTATAAATTGAAAGGTTTAAAAATTCATATATTTTATAACTTTTCACTTGTAAATTAATATTTAAATATTATTAAAATAACATTATTATTTATATAAGTAATTAATTTCGTTCCCAAACTACTTATTTCTTACCATAGAACAGTGGCTTGTTAATTCTTAAACCACATTTGTTATTTTATTACTCTTACTTGTTAATTTGATATAGTCAATTATAAATTAGGAGATTTAAAAATTCATGTACTTTACAAGTTTTTATTTATAAATCAATATTTAAACGTTGTTAACATAACATGTTAATACATTTAGTTTTCAAATCATTTATTTGTTATGATATAAGGAAGATTTATTAATTTTTGAAGACTTGCGCGATAGTTATTATATTATTGAACTAAAAGACGTCAATGCATTTGAAGCCCATTTGTTTTTAATTTTTTGTATTGTATTTCTTGACAATTCCCTTTCAATATATACTGACAAACAGCAAATGGGGCTCTGATTCTAAACGACGAAACCCTATAATCTTCACATCTTTAGGGGGAAAATGGGAACAGGTGATTTTAAAATATAGGGGGTCATCATGAGTCATCATCAAACGTATTGTAATTACGACAAGAACGCCGACTCAATACCATGATTCAATTTGCAATTATAAAAGCGTGTGCCCCTCGTGCCATGCTCTTTCCGAATCTCTTCATACATTGTGATCATTATGGTTTCCAGTATTTCCAATTTAATAAAATGTATAGTCCACTCTCATGCGCTCTTATCCAACGAAGGCCTCCAAATCAAAACTCTAAGTTCATGAGATAGGATCAGGAACCCGATGAACAGAAACAGATCACACGTCAGATAGGGGTCTAACTCAGCGGTTGACTCTGTTTTAGTAAAACTCCGTCGACTTTTGTTTGAAGCTTCACGGGAATGTCTTTCGTGTTATCTTAGGATCTCATTCTCTATCCCCACAGTTTTACTTGTGTTTGTGCCCTGTTTTTCTTTCCAACAGTTGTGTAACAGCTATTACCCATTGCTTTCAGTTTCGTTTTATGACTTTATCTCACACGAACATGCGTTTCCGGCACCTATTTTTGAATTTGGTGCATTTTATAAAACTCAATATACACATGCATATTATTTTTTATGAACCACAATTTTTGCCGTGATATTTAAAGATGGTCGTTCCGCAGCCTTGGCCTGGGCAGGAGCATGTGTCGCAGTCAACACTGTTTCATAGTCATAGGAACGGGTTTAGAATTCATTAAATTCCTAGGCTGCCCTTTAATGTCCACACATTCAATTCATCACATGATACAACAAATCACAAAAGGAAAGGCCCCCTGCCCCCTCCCATAATTATTTATTTATTTCTTTTAGAATAAAATACACACAACCAAAAGAAAAAGAGAAAGAAAGAAACGGACAAATCAAGCCTCCCCCACAATTAGACCCTTAAAAGAAAAAGATTATTGATTAACAAATTAGCCTTGAAAGTTTAAATGAACAAAATATTGAAAAAGATACAAAGGCGAGGAGGACTCCAAAACTAAACCCTCTCTGGGAGCGCGTGTTCTCCACTCTCCAATCGCCCTGAACTGGCGACCATTCTCGGCTCTTTGGTTTCGTACGTGGGACTCTGGCTCCAGTCTTACCTCGTTGGCTCTTTGTACCGCAGTTACCATCAACATCCCCAGCTATGTCCCCCACGCGCAGATAATCACCGCGTGAATGCGCGTTAACTTTCTCTGAGTATCGTCAACAGTGTCTGATCTCCCGAGTTCTCCTCCTAGTCTCTCACCTTTTGCGTTGCCATTATTTTTTATCAATCTCAATTGTCACTGCCCAATTCTTCTATCTCCCCGAACCCCTCCCGTGTCCATTTCCTTTTTTCAGCAATGGGCACATCATAGAGACAAAATAAAGCCTCCTCGTCCTAGTTATTTCCTGGTCTTGTCAGATCACCGGTCTTGGCCATGGTATGGCATGCCACCGGAAATTTAAATTCCGACCGCCAGCGCCAGTTTTCCCCGGCTAAATGCACCGAATACGATGCTGCTTGATCACGACCCTTGAATCCCAGAGCGATAACGACGACGAGGACGGTGAACATGTAATCAAACCATACCTGGTTGAAATCGGATTTTTCATCCTTTTGGGTGCTTACAGCAATGACGACCACTAACACTACCACACCGTCTGTGGACTCAGCTTCGGCCGAGGAGCTTGCGGCAAAAGCTGTGCACAAGCGCTACGAAGGGTTGGTCATGGTTCGAAACAAGGCCATTAAAGGCAAAGGGGCTTGGTATTGGGCACACCTGGAGCCCATGTTGGTTCACAACACTGACACTGGACTTCCTAAAGCAGTGAAGCTCAGGTGCTCTCTATGCGACGCCGTATTTTCCGCCTCCAATCCCTCTCGTACCGCTTCTGAGCATCTAAAGCGCGGAACTTGTCCCAATTTCAATTCTGCGCCTGTACCCATTTCCTCCGTTTCACCTACGTCTGCAATTGTGTCGTCGCCTCCTTCTTCTTCCGTGCACCACAGCCACCGCAAGAGAACTTCATCGTCTTCTTCTTCTGCTGCTAGAGCGACTGGTGGTGGGCCCGCTTCGTCTTACCAAGCTCCGCAGCTTGCCATAGTGGATCCGTCGCGATTCTGTGGGGAGCTCAAGTACACGACTTCGTCAGCATCACCTACTCCTGTAGTGACGGGTGGTGCAGCAGGTTTGTTGCCACAGCAACCGCATTTGATGTTATCTGGTGGAAAGGAGGACTTGGGAGCTCTGGCTATGTTGGAAGACAGTGTGAAGAAGCTCAAGAGTCCTAAAACGTCACCCGGGCCTACTCTTAGCAAGACCCAGACTGATAGTGCGCTCGATTATCTCGCTGACTGGGTCTATGAATCTTGTGGGTCGGTGTCTTTTTCGAGTTTGGAGCACCCGAAGTTCAGGGCTTTCCTTAATCAGGTGGGTTTGCCAGCTATTTCTCGCAGGGAATTAACAGGTGCTAGATTGGACGCCAAATTTGAGGAAGCCAAGGTAGAATCGGAGGCGCGGATTAGAGATGCCCTGTTCTTTCAAGTCGCGTCTGATGGGTGGAAACCCAAGAAATATGGGGTTTACAGTGATGAAAATTTGGTTACTTTGAGAGTGAATCTCCCCAATGGGACCAGTTTGTACAGAAGGGCGGTGTTTGTGACCGATTCTGCTCCTTCTAAGTATGCAGAGGAGGTGTTTTGGGAGACAATCACTGGCATTTGCGGGAATGTTGTGCAACAGTGTGTAGGTATTGTTGCGGACAAGTTCAAGGCCAAGGCTTTGAAAAACTTGGAGATTCAGAATCATTGGATGGTAAATCTTTCTTGTCAGTTTCAAGGCTTCAATAGTTTGATCAAGGACTTCGGCAAGGAACTTCAGCTGTTCAGCAGCGTCACCGAGAATTGTCTCAAGCTCGCAAATTTTGTCAATTACAAGTCTCAGGTTCGTAATAGTTTCCAAAAGTACCAGTTACAAGAGTACGGCCACGCCTGGTTAATACGAGTACCGATGCGTGACACCGAACATTTTAACTTTGGGCCTGTTCACACAATGATAGAGGACGTTTCGAGTTCGGCCCGTGCGTTGCAGCTAATTCTGTTGGACGAATCATTCAAAATGGTATGCATTGAAGACCCAGCAGCGAGAGAAGTAGGAGATATGATTCGCGACGTGAACTTTTGGAATGAATTGGAGGCAGTTCAATCGTTGGTTAAACTGGTGAAGGACATGGCTCTGGAGATCGAGACAGAACGACCGCTCGTAGGCCAGTGCCTTCCTCTGTGGGACGAATTAAAAGCAAAAGTGAAGGACTGGTGCTCCAAGTTCCATATTGAAGAAGAATCAGTAGAGAAAGTAATTGAGAAACGATTCAAGAAGAACTACCACCCTGCCTGGGCTGCCGCTTATATTCTCGACCCGCTTTATTTGATAAGGGATACGAGCGGCAAGTACCTTCCTCCGTTCAAGTGCCTGACGCCGGAGCAAGACAAGGACGTGGACAGGCTGATCACGAGGCTTGTTTCAAGGGACGAAGCCCATATTGCTCTAATGGAGCTTATGAAATGGAGAACAGAAGGGCTGGATCCTGTTTATGCTCAAGCTGTGCAGATGAAGGAGAGGGATCGCGTGACAGGGAAGATGAGAATTGCTAATCCACAGAGCAGTCGACTTGTGTGGGAAACTTATCTGACTGAGTTCAAATCTTTAGGCAAAGTTGCTGTGAGGCTAATATTCCTTCACGCAACGTCGTGTGGATTCAAGTGCAACGTGTCCTTATTGAGATGGGCGTTTGCCCGTGGACACTCCAGGACAGCACTGGACAAGGCTCAGAAGTTGATTTTTATTGCAGCTCATTCCAAAATGGAGAGACGCGATTTTTCCAGTGACGACGATAAGGATGCAGAGCTGTTTGCCTTGGCAAACGGGGACGATGATGCGTTCAACGAGGTGCTTGTTGATACATCCTCAGCCTAGCAAATTTTTTTTTTTTTTGAAAAAAAACTTTTTTTATTGGTTTATCAGTTAGGATATTTAATTTTTAGAATTTATTAAATTCTTTTCACCACCCACCCTCTTCTCCTTCCTTCTTCTCTCGTCTTTCGTTCCATTTGGTCTTTGGATTTTGAGGCAGCAAGGTGAGGTGGGAGAAAGGGAGACATTTGTTGGGGAAAGGATTTCTGTGTTGCTATTGGCCAGCCTCATGATTCGAGCAACTTCCATCTTTGACCCTTGCATGATTTTGAAGAAGTTAAATATGCGGGGAAACAATATCTCTTCTTTGTTCGTAAAGCTAGACAAAAGGAGCATGAACTGAGTCACACAACTGGAACCGTGTCGTAGAAAATTTTGTTTCCGATATAAATAATAGTTGTAAAGGGGAAGGTTTTTATGAATTCTCCTTTGGTTTTTAAGATCCGATCCCTACTCACTCTCTCACCTGTTGTTGAAACTAGTAAATTGAATGCTCTGAATTTTGTAAATTAAAATCATGTAGCAGTGCATCCACATTAATTCTATTTTTACTTCTCCCGCTAAAGCTGCAAAGAATCCTTGTATGGCTTTGCAGCGGGAAAAAAAAAGGGGGAATCCTTGTAATGCAAACTAGGCTTTAAACCTTGAGGAACGCCGAACGTACTGTCTTGCTGAGATGCAGATATGTCTGTCGATCTTTAAACCTGTTCGAGAATGTTGAGAGGCAGGCATCCGATGCATGTCTGTAAAACCTGGGAAGATGCTAAGCTTTCAAGCAATCATACACAGACTTCGATCGGCCATGTTTTAGCTCCAATACCCTTCAGCTTTCTGTCTATAAAGTCAATGTCGACCATAAATTGGCTAATTTTGATCAGCTCAGCGTCACATGGTGCGTCAGCAGAACGAAGGCACGCAGGTCATGTCTCGGCTAGCTAACTAGCTAAAGTTGTCGTGGATGATGGGGTTCGGTTCACTTTCCGCTGCCAAAAGTCTCGTCATCAATCTTGGGACAGTCAGTTAACAAATAATAATAATTTCACATGGTACCGTACCAGCGGAGGGACTTGACTTTAATGGGAATTGAGGACATGCATTATTAGTATTAGTACTATTTTAAAACTTAAATGTTTTAGGTGGCAGGAGTGGACAGAGATATGGTTGAACTGGTGAGTGAGCCATATAATGGTTGGTTGTTAGTAGGACTTGGTGGACCATTTGTAAGGATAAGTAACTATCCCAACAAAAAAGAGGAAATTTTGCCAGGAGATGTCTTGGCGGTAAATGAAATGGATTGGAAAAATAGGGAAGAGTGAAAACCTCAGACATGAGATGAGTTGGGGAGATTGATTCTGAAAGCCCAGGCAGGTCGATCTGAATAGATGTCGTGGAGTGGTGTGTAGGGGAGTGGAACCCCACCATGGAAGTTGGAACCAAAAGTGAGTCATTTTCTGAGGATTGGGTGTGATAAATGTATGAAGATGAGGATTAAGTTGGATTATTCGATCAAATCAGCTTTGGGGTAACGTGTCTTTTAAACATTCCAAAGCTTTGTAGTAATGTTAAGGCTGAGGGCTGAGGCATTAGATGATGCTCCCCATCATTGCCATAAAGGTATTCTTTTGAGGACCCTAAGTAAAGTAACACTGTCGGCATGAAGAACCACATTAGATGCTTCTATTCTGTTCTTTTTTCAGTAAACATAAGGAGGAGTAAGTTTCGTCGTTAGTTAGCAGGAAATATTTTTCCCAGAAATATATAAATGCATGACAAATCTCTTTTAACTAAATTGAATTTTTAGGTATAGAAAGGTTAAGATTTAAACTTTTAACCATTTGTTTAAATAACAAAAACCTCTACTACTCATGCTCCAACTTTAGTCAGTATTTAATTATATTATTCCACTACAAATTTTAACAGATTTCATCTTTTTTTTCATTGGTGTCTTTGAGGCTTTTTCCACTCTAGGAGTTATGCTCGTGGAAGTTGTTGAGTTATTAATAAAAATATTAGCTAATGCTAAAGCTATTCTTAATGGTCCTCCTATTTCCATTCTTGTCTAACTCATTCTCTTGTTATTATATTTTTTGTCACACTAAGCTTTGCCGCGGAAAGCTGTTGGAAAGTGAAATTACAACAAACTCTACTAACAATACCATTGTTTTATTGTTCATTGTCATTATCCAACAGTTTTCGATTCAAGTTATTGTGCGACTGCGATTTTAGCGGCCAAGTTCAGCCGTAGACAAATCCTATTTTTACTCTACTATCTTCGTACAATTAGTTCACCTAAACCATTTTTTAAATATTCAAATTATTATGATTGTAGGATCATGATTGTTTATATATCTTATATATTTAAGTTATTCGAATATGTAAAGAGAATAAAGAAAATTGAGAAGGTAGAATCGAATTTTTTTTATATCATTTATCTCAGTTTTGGGAATTAAAATTTGTTTCACGTCATTTATAAGGTCATTGTTGTGTCCGGATTTGAATGTTTTTTCCTTCAAAACAAAATAATCATCTTTCTTGACTCAAACTATATAGTGATAATTATCTTGTTAGTAACGTTGAAAGAAATTTTGCAACTGCAATAACATAATAACAGTGATTTACCAAGTTATTTCATCTCGTCATTATGTAAGAGTTATTTCATCTTGAGGAGGATTCAGTGCTATTTCATCGAATTAGATTTGATTTATTTGTACGAGCTTCGCATTCTTTAAAGCTTTGACAACAGGCTTTCGAAGCAGATGAAGCAACCGTGCTTCTGACTATTTCCTGAAATGCTTTTTAATTTCTTAGGCTCCATCAGCATATAAACCATATAGAGCAGAAGAAGCTGGACAATGTTGATGGCATTGTTAACTTGGCAGTGATGTCTCGGACAGCGACCCACTTGAAAAATCTCAATTTTGTCATACAAGAAATTTACATTAATTAGGAAAAATTAGGAATAAGGAAATTTTCAATATTGATTGACAATTATCAGCGGCTAAACTACACAGGGCAGTTGTAATGAGGAGTTTTATAATTAAACAGGGAGAAAAGAAGGAAATATATATTATGTTCATAGAGTAGCCGCCAAAGGTAACTGCTGTTTATTATTGTCAACTTCAAACTGTAGAAGACTGTGATGCCATGTCATCATCATTATCTCTCAGCAGTCAGCATCCACGTTTTTGAAATACGAATCTTCCTTTTCTTGTGGATGGGTTTCCCATTCACATACCCACCACTGCAAACAGTAAAAAGGTGAAAATTGAACCAAGTGGGTCTTTTTCAAATCTTCACCTTTGGGTGAATGGAGTGAGTAGAAGAGCAGGAAAAGTAGAATGAATGAAGAATAGTACTATTACTATTACTCTTACTCCGCTCCCCTGGTTCGAGGGTATTGTGTAATTTTACTGATTACTGGCTAAGTGGCCAGACACATATCATTGTCGGCACTCGGCAAGCCTTACCAAACCTGACTGCTCACCAACTAAATCTCTCTCTCTCTCTCTCTCTCTCTCTCTATATATATATATATATATATGTCTAGAAGTTTAGTTTTTAGCTTTTTTGGTTTCACCTGTATGGTATGCAAATGCAATGTAAAGCAAAGGAAATATAATGATGAGTACAGGAGGACACTGGCTTTATACCGGAATCTTCTCCTGTTCCAATGCTCTGATTGTGTCACTTTGCTTATCTTTTTCACCTCCCCTTTGTTAATTTTTGTTGGTTTTACTATTACTATATATATATATAAAATGTTTGCTGCCTTTTTCTTGTGTGTCCTTTTCTATCACCACGATATTCAGGCATTGATGCTCCCACACAAAGCAGAAAATGCTCTTGTGACTTGTCACTTGTTCTCCATCCTCGCCTACCTTTTCCCCTTCAGATTTTATCTTCCTCATCATTCCCCTTCATGTTTTCCTATTCTCTCCAAATTTTATGCCCTTTCGAATTTTAAACTCTCCCACTCCAAACACCCCCCCTTTTTTTATTTGTTCTTCCTTTGCTCACTTGAAAAATTCCAACACGAGCACACTTTTTCTATACTCGCACATATAGCAACAAGGGCGAAATTGATGCTGGCAAACAAAGACATGTCGTTTTTGTTGTTTGAAGTTGATAATGGTTAATTAGTAGCTATTTGATTCTTGTCATAAAGAATGTGTTGTGTCAACTTTGAATTGAAGGTTCCGAAGGATGAGAATTTTGCGCACCAAACCTTACGGCCACTCTCATATTTTTTTTATTAACAAACTAAACTTACTATAGTTAGGATATATCTTCAAATATTTTGTAAAGATATTTGAAAAAATATAATTACAAGTCATTACAGTGTCACTTAATTTTAAATTAAGTCCCTGTAGTTTCTTTTATTTTAATCAAATCTTTATAGTTTCATCTATTATATATATTGACTCTTGAAAGTTAAAATTAATAATAAATTATTAAATTTTTGTTTTGATTTTACAAAGCCAAAATACTCTTAGGTTTTGTAGAAAATTTAATTTAATACTTTCAATCAAAATAAAAAAAATTGATTTAATCCACTGTTAATACCTTGACTATAATCCTTTATGAAAATTCTACATGTATAAAAATATTTAGATGACAATATAATTATATAAATTTTGAGTTATAAAAATAACGTAATTCTAAAGTTGTATAATCATTTAATAAAAATATAAAAGTTCTTGATTTTGTTTTTTTAAAGGAAAAATATAAGAATTTTAACTTTTAGGTATTAAAAAATTTAATTGATTGAACTATAAAGGTTTAATTAAAATAAAATAAACTATAAGGACCTAATTTAAAATTGAGTAAAATTATAAAGACTTACAGATATGTTTTTCCAATATATTTTTACATTATTTATCAATAAAGTCTTCATATCAATAATAGAATATGAGTTGATAATCTTGTAAATCATAGATTAAATTTTTATTAATTAGACTAATTTTATTGGTGGTAATTTCTTTGATAACTTGATTCTTTTTTAGGGGGGGTAGTATATGAAAAGTATGGTTTTCTATGAATGTGGTCCACAAATATTTTCAATTTGCATTGGATGCTTGTTAGGATCAAGAGCAATTCTATGCTTGTTAGGATCAAGAGCAATTCTAACTTTTATTTCAATCTAAATCTGCTGTTCATTTAAATTAATTTTTTAATATTATATTTATTAATATAAAAAATTTTAAAATTTTAATAAACATGTTCATTATCAATCTGGCCAGGTTTAATCTAGCAGTCTAACTTAATATTAAAAAATTTTATAATTTGATTATTAAGAGACGCTCTAGACAGTTCAAATATAATTTAAATAACCTAATTTAATATTAATAAATTTATAAATTTTATAAACTAACCATTTAATGTTCTTTAAATAGTCAAAATTTAATATTAAAATTTTTATATTTTTTGCTTTAATAAATAAAAATATTTAAAATTAATTTAAATAAATGATAGGAATCGATTTGAGTTGAAATGGAGATTCACATGAGTCCATTCGAATGCAGATGCAAATATTT